TGAGGAGGAAAAGCAACAGTGATGCTGTCTTCTGGAAGAGGAACTATGAATGTGGGGCCTCAGAGTCTCTCAGCTCCATGCAGAAGGATTTGTGGAGCCGTTTCTGAAGTATTTATTCCCTGTCTCTGCTGTGTCAGGGTGGGACTAGGAGTTGTGGGTGTGCTGCTTTGAAGTTGTTCGTGTATCAGCTGTGAGCCACACATTTGCCACAGTTTGGGAGCCCCTGAGCTAGAATGTGCCTGGCAGGATGCACCCTGAGTACTCTTGTAACTTGTCACCTCTCCTTACTGTTTTTCTTCTGTGTTTTCAGGCAAGATTGGATGATGTGTTATAATCCTTCCTGTTTGGCTTTCTAACTCTTCTAGTGCAATAATTTCCTTATATTTCCCAGTAGACTCATTTCCTTTCATAACATGAACTAAACTGAAAATGGACTGAGCAGGTAGACCGGCAGATGGGAACTGTTAAATCCCCAGAAGGGTTTTTTTTAATTTTTAAGTTTATTAAAGGCACAGTTTTGTAATGTGCCAAGTGTTCCTGAGTCATAGACAGTCAGAGGACAAGCTCTGTGGACTTACAGCTGATCCTCTAAGTCAAAGACAAATTTTGCTTTGGAGAGTGAAACCAGCATTTGAGATCTCTTCCCTGCAGGTGTATTCCAGAGAAGCAACTAAGCAAAGAGAGTGTGTTAGGCTTGCACCTCTTGGGAGGGCCATCAGGAATCACTAAACAGACATCATAAATGCTAATGCTGGTCTGCACCAGAGTTTTGGCATGTGCTTGCAAGCAGGTGTTTGGAAAGACCCCTTGGGAGAAGTCAACTGTGTGCACCTCATGAAGCCCAATGCAGGAAGATGCTAGCAGATGTGTTTCTAAGCTCTGCTTTGCTTTGGGTGCCAATTTCCTGTCTGCTGCTGCTTTCAGCTTGCTGCCAAGCTTGTACTGGTAGAAATACAAAGCTGATTGGTGTCGCAGTGTCCTTGCCCTGCTTCATTTATCTCTTTAGGAAATTCAGTTAATAATTCCTCGGTTTGCAGTTAGTGCCCACTTCCATGTATGAACCCAGGCGAAGAATAGGTAATGATTGCAAAGTTAATTCTGTGGAAAGTTCTGCTTCATGTATCTATTTCAATAAAACTATTGGGCTAGATCGCAGATGGCAAGGGTATTTCTCTTTCCCCCAGGCATTTATCCAAAGTTTTACCCTGTAGGCAACTGCTCCAAGGGGGAGAAAAGCCAAGTCATCTTTCTGCTTTTATATTGAAGCCATTTACATTTGCTCAAAGCTGCCATAAGCAGCTGGGTCCCAGCTGCAACTCTCCGGATAATACATTCCTCCTTGTAACAAAATAGGGAAGCCATTTTCCTTGCTGCCTTGTAAAGGCATTGAGAGAAGTTAAACACAAGGCAGGCCCCACACTGCTACTTCCCAAGAGTGTGCTCGCTTAATCCAGGCTTAGTTTTTTGGGGGAATGTCACCAAAAAAGGAGTAAGCAGAGCAATGAGTGAGAACCTCACTGCAACTGAAGTCTGACTCACTTTGTTGCAAATGAGCTTACAGCTGATCACCCTGGATGCTGATTCCTTGGAGACATCACATATTTATTATTTATGCCCAGAGACTGACATTCTGTAAAATGGAAATGGCCAATTAATCACAAGCATCTTTTGGCAAGCATTTACAAGCAAAGATCTTGAAGTCTTAATCCAGGCTAACAAAGCTCCAGTGCCCCCAGATGGAGTTCATTAGTCAGATCTGATGATTACCTATAAGGGAGTTCTGTGCAGACTTGTAAAGGAGAAGGAAATGGGGATTAAAGTTTGTTTCAGAAATTATTAGTTTTCCTTTGGGTGGTGGAAATAGCTCAGGAAATGTGGCAGCACGAAGGTGCAAAGGGGGAATGTTTGCATTTATTGTTTGTGTAATTTGCTGAGCAAGTTATAAGACCTCATTTACACCAGACTGAGAGCTAATGGATAGGCAGTTCACAGATGGAGTTTCATGGTTACATATGTCTTTAGTTTTACTCAGACTTTGTAAGGGAACAGGGTGTACCTGTACCTGGGCCAGGCATGCCAACCTTCCTGCGAAGCAGAGGTTCCTAGCTCATACCCAAATTAGGTTTCTCTGGGTAATGGTTACAATTACTGCTCTAGCTTTGAGGGTTTGGACCGAAGCCTGGGATTTAGCTTTTGTGTCAAATGTAGCATTCAGAGAGGACTATGAAGGCTTTTCTGTCAATACGCTGTGCCAGCAGTTAAGGCTGAGGTTTTTACTTCCCAACCCTGCCATAAAAATAAAATGTTCATTGATTATGATGCCTTGCAAGATGCTTTTCTGCTGGTGTGTGAAAAGCCGTTGCTGGTGAAGTTGATCAATTCTTGTTTCTTTGTTCTTCCCATTTGTGTGTGTGCACACATCTCTTGTCTTATGCCTACGCTGCAAGCTATGTTGGAAATCAGTTGGGGTGGGGGTCTGCCTGATTGCTAGCCCAAGGGGGGGCTTTTGGTCTGTGGTGAGCACTCCTAGGGACTAAGATAACATCAGGAATGATAATAACAATAATAGTAATAGCAGTAAACAGACCTGATTTCCTTGGCTGATTAATCTGAAATATCCTTAGAGACATTCAGGAAGAGAACACACAGCTTTCTCTTGCAATTGTTGTGGGTTTTTTTGTCTACGCATTTCCCATAAAATGTTTGTCACAGTGCCAAGCTGCTCTGTTCCTTTGATATGCAAAGTGCTCTGAGGAGAGAATCCCTCAATTACCAATATTCCCAAAGCATGGTGATGTAGTAAGGAGGAAAAGGGCATTTTTGTCTTCAGACATCACTCAATATAAAAAGGAAACAGTTGTGTTTGCAGAGTCAGTCTTCTAGTACAAGGTTTTTGAAATATTCATGTGAGATTTACTCTTTTGTAGCTATACTAGTATCACCACTTTGCACTCTGTTTTGAGAATAATTATAGATAATAATGTGGGTTTTGAGATACACTGAGAATAGGAAGAACACTGGTAGAGATATTAATAGAATCATAGAATGCTTTGCGTTGGAAGGGGCCTTTAGAGGTCAATTAGCCCAACCCCCCTGCAGTGAGCAGGGACATCTTTAACCAAATCAGGTTCCTCAGAGCCCTGTCCAACCTGGCCTTGAATGTTTCTGGGGATGGGGCCTCCACTACCTCTCTGGGCAACCCATTCCAGAGTTTTGTCACCCTCATTTTAAAGAATTTCTTCCTTAGATCCAGTCTAAATCTACCCTGGTTTAGTTTAAAACCATTACCCCTTGTCCTGTCACACCCGGCCCTGCTAAAAAGATTTTCCCCGTCTTTTCTATAGGCCCCCTTTAGGTACTGAAAGGCTGCAATCAGGTCTCCCCACAGCCTTCTCTTCTCCAGGCTGAACAAGCCCAACTCTCTCAGCCTGTCCTCGTAGGAGAGGTGCTCCAGCCCTCGGACCATTTTTGTAGCCCTCCTCTGGACCCACTCCCACACTTCCGTGTCCTTCCTGTGCTGAGGGCTTCAGAGCTGGATGCAGTACTCCAGGTGAGGTCTCACCAGAGTGGAGTAGAGGGGATATATTCTCAAAGCATATCAGGACGGTAATGCAGAACAAGAAATACTCAATATATGTGGTGAAATATTTGCTGTTCTCTATACGTATCTGCTGATGATTTAATATCCACCAGGTGCCAAGATACATGTGATACAGCATCTAACATAAAATCAGCAGGCTTCAGTTTCATCAAAGAGCCTGTGCGTAATTCGGTTGAGAAATTCTCTCTGTTCTCAATGTTGGGAGAAAGCGAGCGTTGTGCCGATGTTTATATAAATCAATCCTGTTCCACTGGTGATCCAGGGGCAGAATGCAGCCTACCGGACGCTTCCGCCCAGCCCAAAGGCCTGCCCTGGTGGCGAAGAGCAATGGCTGCTCCCATCAGCAGGTGTGTCCTGTGGGACGCCCAGGCGCAGGGAAGAGCAGGCTGCAGAGCCCTGGGCAGACCGGCCAGGTGGTGCTCGGGGACAGGAGGCGGCAGGAGGGGACAGGAGGGCCTCTCCGGCCCCAGAGGCCCGCGCTGCGGCCGCCTCTCCTCGGGGAGAGGACCCCAGTCCACCCAAACCGGGCTTCTGCTTGTCTGCGCCCTGCTCGCCGCATGGCCAAACCCACAGATACAGGCACGCTTGCGAGATGTGGTACTTCGAGGGAGGGCCGGGGATGACCTGAGGAGAAGGATCCCCTCATCCAGCCGCCCGCCCTTTGTCTCGGTCCCGCCCGCCGCTGGGTGGCGCTGCCCTTCCCGCGGAACGCGAGGAGCCGCCGCCGTGTTCCCGGGGGGAAACGGAGCGGACAGGGCGCGCCGCCGGCCGGAGCGCTGAGGGCGGCGGACCGCATCCCGGAACGAGCGAGATGGCGCGCAGCGGCAAGGTGAGGGGAGAGTGGAGGAGAGGGGGTCTTCCAGTATCCCAGCCTCCGGGCACCCCCCGTCGGTCCGTCCCCGGCCCGGTGTGGCGGGGACGTGCCTCAGGCGTGGGCGGTCGCGGAGGGGGTGCCGCCCGCTTGGGCCCGGCCGTGAGAACGGGTCCCCCCTCTGCGGGCCGCAGCCGCCGCCGCCCGCCTGTAACGCGAGCGCTTTGCCCGTGGGCGGCCGCTTGTGGCGGGGGGCGTTTGCGCGGCCCCGTGCTCGCCGTGGGGGGCTTCTGAGGGCCCGGCTTGCCTTCGGTGAGCTGCCGGCCTCGGTGTTGGTAGCAAACGGCGCAACAGCCGGGGCTGCGAAACCGCCTAACTCCCCCCGGTGCCGACCGCCGGGTGGGTGCTGGTGCCACCCCGTCTGATTCAGAGGGACTTCAGCGTTCCCCTCCCGCGGGCAGCTGCGGTTCTGAGCGCAGTGCGGCCACCGCGGTAGTAGTTGCCATTGCTCTTGATAAAATAATAGCGGAAATGGTTTTGCCCTGTTAAAAATGCGGTCTGTTTGGTGTGTTTAAGGAATCCTGTTGGTGAAAGCGGCATTAAGCTCTCTTCTGATGATACAGGGCAGTTTAGTATCTGTTAAACACCGGCTTTGTGCTGCAGGCTAAAGTGCTGCTGTAGCTGTATCTCCCTTAGCTTTATTATAAAAAAATAATTCAGCACTGAGAGGTTAGAGATAAAGGCAGGCTCGTTCCGTTTTCACCCTTATCAGTACTTGAGCAAAGCAGATTGATGTTAACTTAGGTGTGACAACGTTGTCCTACAATCACACATGCTGAGCATCTTAGCTTAGCTTAGTATATTGCACCTGAAAATGGTGGTACAGGATGCTCAGAGGTGAGATGTAGAGGTTAATAACAGAGGAAGAGATGTATAGAGGAGGATTACCAAAAGAGAGACCTGCCCTCCTGAAGGAGGATTCCACATACCTGAATAGGCACTGGGCTTGGAGTTTGCTGCCTTCCAGAAGAGCGTGTTAGCACATGACATTTTATTATTTTCTCTCAAGCAAAACAGCAGCTCTTCGCTCCTGCACCCTTTCGGGTTTTTTTGCTGTTGTCTTGCCAGCTGTGAAGATTATTTTACCTGTTTTGGACAATAGGATTAATTCAGCTGGCAGCCACAGTGTATCCTGAGGCAGGACAGCAACAAGCAGAGGGTCTGCAGTTACTGAAGCTGGTAGAGTAATTCCTCAGGCTGGCAGGTGAGCAGTAGCAAGGCTTTTGTGAGAACCTAGTGCAGCCCCAGTTACTGCCTGTATTCCACTCGAAGCTTCTGCAGCTGTAGCTGCCTCAAAGGCATTCCTTCCTGGCTCCCAGGCAAGCCACCAGTGAAGGCAGAGTGATGAATAGAGTGCTGAGACAGAGTGTAACCTGCTGGATGTCTTGTGCTGTCCTGTTGCTAATTCTTTCTTTTTTCCCCCTTGTCCTGTTCTGGGAGGATGCAGGGAGTTAAACCAGTGCTTGTTAAAATGTCAGGGGAGGTGCACAATGTATTTTAGAAAAAGGAAGAGGATAAATAATTAATTTGAGAGCTGCTAAGACAGAGCATTAGACAACTAATCTAAGAAAATTATTCCTATAAACTTGATATTAAGCAATATCTATTTAGGTGACAAAAAGAGTCAGGTTCTTCTGGTTGATGCTTAAAAAGATACTTGGAGTTATTTGCATGACCAAGCAAAAGAGCTTAGACCAACACCTTTTCTTCCTGTTCATCCCTTTTGTTTTGCAAAACCAGACTGTGCATCTCCGGTCACTTGATTCTCAGTCTTCTGATTTATTGCCCATGTCCTTCTGGCAGCTTCACTTCTCATAGCACTGGATATATTTTTTATTTTGAAACATGGTGACTGGCTCCAAACTAGGTAATACCTAATTTTCCTGTGTTCTGACAAACAATATTTTTTTGTATGCAGTGTAATTTAAGCTACTGGTTATCCACCAGGCAAGATTTTGATATATAGCTGAAGAACCTTGTTTTAATCAGTGACAATAAATTTGAGCTGGCCTTTTGTCAATGTCCTTAGAGATGCAGGGCATAAATTTACTGAACTCCTCTTTTAGCTTCATTCAGCTGCATGGTAAAATTCTGTTAATCAAGAGTCTGTGGAAGAACTTTAGAGGAACTTAGCAAATCCAGTTGAATGGGCAACACACTACAGGTAATATTCATTATTAATGAATGTTGAACAAGAGAAATCACAAGAAGCAATTTTATTTTACTCGTATGCTAGTTTATAAATCAATTAAGGGGAAGACTTGGGCACTGTTTTATATAGATCAGTTAGAGCAATGATCAGAAAGCAAGCACATATGCTAGTTTGTGGGATTTAAGCCCTGAAGTTGAAATCAGAATTCATCCTTCTGAGGTGTTAGGAGCATAGCTGCACGCTGCAGACACCAGTGCTCACTGCAGAGACACCTACAGCAGCAACAAATGTTCTGGCTCTCCCTGGAAGCCATAGGAGTACAGTCAGTCTTATGTTCTTGAGTTAGACCAAACAGTGGTCTGCAGCTATTATGGGCTACTGGTGAGGGGTGGATGTAGCTGTAGAGTTTAGGGAACAAGCTTGTATCTCCACCTTGTATAGTGCAGGTACACTGTATTGTGTTGTGCTGGTAATTGTCAACTGAAATATCTCTGTTTTATTTCCTAGCACAGAAGAGCCCTTGGATCCCTAATATGTTCACAGGGTTAAATAGAAATTGCCCCTCTTGACAGATCATAGGATTTTTTGTATTTTCCACTGAGAAGTCCGGAATGTGGTACAGGATTAAATGATTCTCGGTTCAGTGCAGTTGTACTGGTTCTGTCCTCCACCATTGTCTCATATTAAGAGTTCCTGTAAAAGATTGTAGTTTGTAGTTTGATTTTTTTTGATTTTGTATGTTCAAGGATCTGAACTAACCTGTTTAATTAATTATGCTTATATTGGCCCTTTTACGTTCTTATTCAGTATTGTATTTCCTTTCTAGGCGGCCATAGTGCTGTGCCTGGATGTAGGCTTTACAATGAGCAATTCTGCCTCTGGTGAGGAGTCTTCACTTGAACAAGCCAAGAAGGTTATGACAAAGTTTGTGCAGCGACAGGTATGTGTGACTTTACATGCGATTAAAAACTGTTAAGAAGGGAGAGGAAGCAATAACATCTGCAAAATATTTTCCTCATTAACTAATAATTGAAATAAATGAGAAATGAGTAAGAATTAGTTGTCTCTATGCAGGAGTAGCAGTGCCCTTTGTTTCAACTCTACTTCTGTGGAGATGTGGTAGTTGGATTGGTCACTCTTTCTTTAAGGCAGTAGAGACTTAGAGGGGAAAAGAGTACTCTTCTCTTTCTCTAAAATGTTTCAACCTTTTTAAGATTTACCATACTGAAGAATCATTTCAAGGACTGAGTCAGCCCATTTTACTTGTTTTATCCCAGGCATCCTCATGTCAGTCTGCTGGTTTAATTATATCTAAAATTAGTGAACTCTCTGCAAAATCACATTTTGGTATGATAGCACTGAAAAAGTAAGAGAAAGTAAATCCACTATACTTGATATTGTTTCAACATTAGTTCTGCTTGCTCGAGTCTGTGTAACATAGTTGTGAATAAATCTATCTGTGTTTTTATACCTGTTTTGTATTTTCTCTGTTTCCAGGTTTTTGCTGAGAGTAAAGATGAAGTCGCTGTAGTTTTGTTTGGCACAGATGGTACTAGGAATGAACTTGCCAGTGGGGATCAATACCAAAACATCACTATACATAGGTCACTAATGCTACCAGATTTTGATCTGCTGGAAGACATTCAAGATGTGATTAAACCGGGCTCTGAGCAAGCAGACTGTATCCTTTCGTTGTAGAGCACTTCTTGGACTGATTCAGCTACACAGGAGACAGGAAGTTAGTGTTGTGGGCTCAGACTTGCCTCCGAAGTTGTAACTACTATCAGAGTTCAGCTAATTTGTGGTTGTAAGTTTGTTCAAAAGCAGATTAGCTGCTTTTTGACGTTCTTTTAGGCTAGCAGATGGAGTCTTGGCCTTAGGTAATCATTGCTTCTATGAAGTGTTCTGTTAATTAAAGAGAGCGAAGTTAGCACTAATATAATTTTAGGCCTCAAATAAAGTATGTGTTTTTAAAAATAGTGTTGTAGAACTTGGTTTATGCTTTTTCATCAAATAAAAATACTATTTGCGAAATATGTTATCAGAAGTACCAGAAGCCAGACAAAGCAGAATAGAGCTTTATCAGATTGATTGCTAGATCTCCTACTTCAGGAAGTATTTCTAACATTGCTGAATGTCACTTGCTGGTTTGAATGTTCTTCATGTCTGAATGTGTTCTGTTGTTAGTTGCATAAGGTGAAGAGTTTTGAAAGAAGGCGATCTATATATTGTCCCTTTGTGTGTTTCATTTACATACTGTTAAACTTCCCGTGTTGTCTTCCCTCGTTCTGGCCACAAAATGATTGTTGTGAGCTCTATTCAGACTGTCAGAGCTGTTTCAGCAAAGTGTGCAGCCAGTCAGCTGTATCTTAGCAGAAGCAGAGTCATGTTCCTTCTTCAATGGGTACGCAGGTTTGTGTGCAGCAGTAAAAATATATTCCCAGTGAAAATTGTGGTGAGGAAGAAACTATCAAGGGATTGCCAGATGCAGATATTTTGAAGTAAAACGTCCATGAGAAAATGGCATCAGGTATTGAAAGTACAAGTGAATTCTGTTTGTGGATTCAAAGTAAGATTATATCATATTTTATACATATATATGTTAAAAGATTAGATTAGTCTTTCATTGGACTTGAGCCTCCCCATTGGCAGTTAAAAGACTGGGCCCTAGAGCAATCTTTTTACTGTTCCATCAGATAAATGGGGAAGAGATAAGATCACAAAACAGTCAAGATATATAGGAACCTCTTGCACAGTAGATATTTGAAGAGTTACCTCTTCAAATAAAGCAAAAAATTGTTTGTTTGTTAACTAAAATGAATGTTTGTCAGTGGTTGGGGGGTGTGTGAAAACAGAAGATTGTTTCATAGGAAAAACAGTTGTGTGACATGATTCTTGTTGTAGTTGAGATTTTTTTTCTTAATTTCGCTTAGTTCTGGATGCAATTATTGTGTGTATGGACTTGCTTCAGAAGGAAACAATGTGAGTACGTAACCCAAAGCCTTTTACAGAATTCTGACCTTACACTTTGGAGCTGATCTGATTTCTTGCCAGTATTACATTTCCAGTATTGTGTAAATATGGAAAATACTTAAAAAAAAAAAAAAAAATTAAAAACAACATACTACAGGAGTCTGTCCCTGAAGAATCCTCAGGAGACGTCTAGCTTCTCCATAAGAGCTTTCTGATGCAACTGGGAACTTTGCATTAGATTCATGAGAATATTAATGCCATTATACAAGGCACAAAGACTTCACTTACTGTCACGTTTCTAGTGATCTGCTTTCACAAAACCCCATTAATTCACATGCTAAAATGCATAGAAAAGGACTACCAAAAATCAGAAAGGTTTGTTCAGCCTAACACCTTAAAGGCTGTTGGAGACAAGGTGGCAGTTTGTAAATATGCAGGGTGTGTGCGATAAACATGCAGTAGGAATAAACATTGAAAGAAAATGTTGGCACAAGTCTTACAAAGTTGTCAATGAATGGACAACTGGAAATGTGACTGTTACTAACACTCAGTGGACCGATGGTCCAGGGAAAGGAAGATAGCCTTACTTCTGCTCAAAACAGGGAATAAATACGTTGTTAATAAGATCGTATGATCCAACTGTGAATGCAGAAGACTATAGACTTAGTAATGCGATTTGTGTTTTTATGATTAAAGTCTAATTGGCATGGAGAGCTGTGTCAATTTAACGGTTAAAACTGAGTTGTGAATTAAAATCACTGTATTTATGGTAGTGTAACCTTGAATATCTATGGAGCAACTGCTTTTGTTATCTCGTGGGTAAGTTGCTTGTATGCACCAAACCCTTTGATACGGAGTTTACCTTCAGCTGAGAAAATTCTGGTGGGTAAAAATTCAGGAAAGTCACCCTTATGCTTTGAATATCCAGATAAAAACTGTATCAGTTTAACTGAGTTTTGTTTTGTAGCTGGCAGAACTTTCTGATGTTTATTGTTACTACTTCTTACCGTATTAAGTAGGCTTTAAAGTCCGTCTTATCCAGTGAATCTCCTGAATTAGCTTACTAAAATAGAACCCCTGCCAGCAACAGTAATTTAAAAAACATTTTCCATTTTCACTAGGATAGAATTACAGCTGCAAAGGAAATATCCAGTATAATCAATGAATAACATAATGTATTTTATTAGCATTTTGTCTACATTGGTGAAAGTTGGCAGAATTCCATTCGTGTAGAGGTAGTTAGTGATTTATATAGTCACAGGGCTAGAGTCCTCAATTTTAGGGAGTAGGAGTGAGTAGGGGGAATCATACAAAGACAGAAACTTACCATAAATATTATGAGCAATGATAGAACAACTTCTACCAAGTAGCTTTGTTGGTTTGTTTTTTACAAGTATATTGCTTTGGTAAAGCTTCAATTTTTTAAGGAAAGAATTATAAAAAGGCCTTCTAGATATTTCTGATATATGTAGCTGTTGTTTTTGTATTTTAAGAGGAAAGAAATACGAGAAGAGACACATTGAACTATTTACAGACCTTAGTAGTCCTGTCAGTGAGGATCAGCTGGAAATTATCATTGCTAACTTGAAGAAAACAGGAATTTCACTTCAGTTTTTGTAAGTATGGAAGTGGCTGTTATACACTATGCCATTTTTTAAAGGGAAATTATTATTCTTTCTTAGTAATGATCTTGAAGGAGTTGGTGATCTGTTGCTGTATTGTTTCTATAGAGGTGTACCAGTATTTAATACTGATAAAAGTACTTACAACAATCATTACACATGCCATGAATTCCAGTTATGAACCAAGTCTCCTTAAGTGATGTGCAAATACATGTTAAGATGATGGCTTCTTTTCCAGTTAAGCTTATAGCTTAGAGCCAAGGTCTAAAATGGGAGACAAAAGATCTATATAAGTAGAGAAGTGGGAAACAATGAGCCAGAAATAGCCTCAGAAGCAGTGGTTTTGTCACAGCAACAGCCTAGATCCTTTTAGGTTAAGGGAGTTACTTGGAAGAAATAATGAGGTAGTGTTGCAGATGTTTATAGCCTGATTCTGGTGTCAGTAGAAAAGAAGTCTGAAGAGAAGGGTTATATTCACAGTGATGGGCTTGGAAAATGGAAGTGATGTCTTACATGTTATGACAGGAATCCCATGGCTGTCTTGGTATAGGTACAGGCGTCGATCTTAAGAATCAATGGTGGGTGGTGCTGAGATCTTATTAGATGTTGCACATGATGGCAACGTGGGAAGCTATAGGCCTTCTAGCAGGAGTTTATTTAAAAGCAAAACTTTGTGTGAATGTTAATGTTTGTGGTTTATAATAAATAATTTCACAGGAGAAAGTTGAGGCTGCAGTTTTACCTCTGACCATTTTAATACTTAGTTTCACCTAGATCCAGCATTCTTTAAGGAGCAATGTTGTGAACGTGATAAGTTCATTAAAACCATTTGTGGACCGGCCTGCAAGATAACAGAGGGGTTAGGTAGGAAAGTGTGACTGAAAACCATAGGCTGATTGTCCACAGAAAAATTACTTTTTGCCTGTGCTTGGGTGAGGCTGAATGTAAAAATCTCAGACTGCTCTCAGGTTCTGTCTACACAGCAAAAGAAGGTATGCTTGCAACATGCCTTGACATGCCCCTTCTAGGTTATTTGAGCTATTGTTGGCACTGCAGGCAGTGGAGACACAATACCATGAACCTGAGTACATGCTGCCAGCCAAAGTTACATCTTTCAGAGACCTGGCACAGATGCTACCACCACAAGTTAACATTGCAGTTCTATTCTGTGAGATTTCTCATACATCTTTACATTTCCTTTGTCTGTAACATAGCAAAGGAAAAGCCCGATGGCTAATAGAAACACTAGGGGAACGTTGCTGTTACAGCACCAACTGCAGGTTTACACCCTGTCTCACGAGCAAATGATGCTTTGAGAAATACATGTAGAAATGTAAAATACTCAGGATACTGGTTTAAAAATAATTTCTTGCTTGTCCTTTTGTTATAACCAATGCTTCCATCTCTTACACCCTGTTTATTGATTAGGTTGTAATTTGTGGCAGATAGTTGGTTTTCCACCCCGTTACCAAGCTCTGAGCACTGTGTAGCTTTGGGTATTACACAGTTCTCATCACAGGAATCTCTAAGCACTTTATAATGAAAGTAATCTAACTTTTGTGTCTCAGAGGTTTGAAGCTTTTTGCTCTCATAACGGCTTTAAAATACAGTCTCTTTTTGTCAGTGGATGCTGCTTCCTAAAACGGTATCAAACACTTTCCTGAAGTTTGATCTTTAATTCTGCTATATGTGATATTGTTGTGCATATTGTTAACTCTGCTTATTGTATGTTGCTCCACAGATAAGTTTGGTGAGAACTAATGAGGTGAAAGTGTGGTAGAGGTCTGTAGGCTGCTTTTCTGAAAACATAACACAAAGCTAAAATTCTTTTACTTTGTGGAAATGTGGTAAAAGGTATCATGTGGTTCATTCAAAATTGGATCAGACAAAAGATTTGAAAAATCTGCAGTCATTGTCAGGGGCACAGAGTAGAGGATCTTACACACCTCTCTTTTCTGTGGTTATTATACTTAGTTAACTCTGTTATATTTTGAAGAGCAACAAAATCATTTTATCTATAACCCCTAACTAAATTCTTAAATCTGATTCTTGAAGTGCAGGAAAACATGTCATCTTCAGTCAGAGATTGACCTAGTGGTGTAAGCTATTAAAATCTCAGAGTAACATTTATTCCAGAAATAACCTAATAGCCCCACTGCCGAGAAAGTCCTGTTTGTTGGCATTTAGAGCCAATACAGAATCACAGGCCTGGAATGGCCTTTAACAAGTCATCTAGAGCAATCCTCTACTTCAGACTGGGCCAGCTGTAGGTCTGTCATTGCTGAGCGGTGTTTGTCTAATCTTTTTATAAAGATTGCCAGTGATGGAGAGTCTTCCATCTCCTCAGGCAGTTGGTTTTAGAGATTATGGTTTGAAATACTTCTATCAGGTTTTTGAATATCTGACCTGACTCCATGATATAATTTGAGTGCAGGCTGAATATGAAGAACTGATTGTTCCCTTCCTCTCTGTAACAGCCTTTTATATTTAAGACTGTCTTGCCCTCTGACTCCCTTCTCTACAGGCTTTGTTTTGTTCCATCTTCTTTTCATAGGTCTTGTTTTTTAATCATCACAGTCTTTACTCCCTAATGCCCTCCTGTGTGTGGAAATCTTTATTGACATATGGTGCCCAGAACTGGTGCAGCATTCTGGTCAAGATGGGTAACAATGCCAAGTAGACCTGAAATACTACTTCATGTGTTTCGCAAGCCGTGTGGCTCTTTATACATCTGACTGCAGCTAGATAGAAATTGTTGATCCTGATACAAGTTTTATTTTGGTTTTGGTAGGTTATTTTAATTAAGAAGAAAGACAAACTAACTGCTTCTGCTTGTGTTCTTAGCCTGCCATTTCCAGTGGATGTTGATGGAGGTGGAGATACAAGTGCCAGTGGATGTTCTCAAAACCACAGAAAAATGTGGTGAGGAAACTGATGCATACTTTGGATGAAGGAGGAGGGCTGGAAGAAATTTATACTTTCAGGTAAACTTGGCTAATCCTCTTTATCACACTGTAAATTTACTTTCTGATTTCTTCCCCAAAAGATGAAATGAATTAAGTAAACAGTCACTTGGCTTCCAGTTTCACTGAAGCCAGGGGATTTTATAACTTACTGTACACTCAGTCCCTTTCAAACAGCTTCTTCAGTGACTTTAGAATAGGTAGTAGAGCTTACAGATTTCAGTGGAAAACAAATTTTCTATATCTGTATTTAAAGAAAAAAATCAGTTTTCTTCCATAGTGTTAGTGAATTTTGGAGGGAATGTTTCTGTAAATAAGATTTCAAAAGTATGCTTTGAAAGGGTTGGAATTTGTGACAGTGCAGGTAGAACATTTGCATTTAATGGCAGCCTTCGTTCCTTGGTCTCAGGCTTCTTTTAGCTCACTAGTTTATCAAAACTCCCACAAATGTTTTGAGTAATGTTGTTTATTGAATCCTGCTCTTTAATCACGGACTGCTGTGCCATTGTGCCAAACTATATACTTTTTTAGCTGCACTCCTAATGCAAGAATTGAAAGATGGTTTTTCAGTTCACATTTCCCCAATGAAAGAATAAAAATATATGTGTGTGTCTGAAAAACTGTAGCTAGTGATGTATCCAAGACTTTTCCACACAGGTATTATCTCAGTTGTGAAACAAGCAAAATGCATCTATGCACCTTGTAAAAGTCTGATTTTATTGTCTTAATTCTGTTCTACAATTATGAAGTGTGATCTTTTAGACAACATGTTTTTCAGGAAACTTAGTAGACCATAGCTGTAATGAGATTATCGAGTGTAATTTTTAGATTAGGTATATGTGGGTTTGCATGCATCATTTTATTTGTGGGATTTCCTTTCCTCACCCCACCCAACTGATCTGCTTTGCACCTCAGCAGACAGTTAAACTGTTTTTTGAGCATTAGTGTGGATTAGTGAAGAAACATGTATCACACTGTATGTGTTCCATACTAGTCAACAGAGCAGCCTGAGTCTCTAGAAAAAAGCAGGCTTTGTCATTGCATCAAAAGACTGCACCGAAAAGCAGTATTTTTCTGGGCCCATTTGTCCTTTAGGATAATCCATATGCATGAAGCTACTGTGTGGTGTGTCCCCTTCTTTATAGATTTTTTTTTTTTTTTATTGCAGGCTCTTGCTACTGTATAAGCTGTCTTTGTGCCATGCTTTCAGGGGAAGTCCAAAATCTTTGGATAAATAGGCATTTGACTAATAGATTAAAGCTGTAGTTTAAGATGTTTAAGAATATGTGAGGTTTTAGAAGCAGTTAAGTTGCTTATCAAGCTTTAAGAAGTCAGCCTTGCAAATCTGTCATGATAATTTACCAACTCGGATACACTCCCTGTTTTCCTATATTCATTATTCCTGGTGGTAAACATATTTCAACTCTTGTGAAAATAAATTAGTCATGCCAGGAAAGTAAATGAGAAAATTTTGTTGTATTGTTTTAGGGTTTGATATTCTGACTGTCGGACAGGAGGTACTTCTGCTGCCTGTGGGGTTTGGGGGAAGGGATTGGAGAGCAGAGGAGGAGAGACAGGTTTTTAAATACAAGTTGAAATGTGTGTTTACTAGGGTTTTATTTGCTGAGTTTTCTTTGATAACAGGGAGCATTTTTCTTCTATAAATGTAAGAAATTAAAGGACAGAGTTAATAAATTGAGCTTAGATGACAGTTTTAGTCATTTGATGCTTACGTATTTGATTTTCATATTCATCCTTGAATGTATGTGTTGCAGTAGTTTTAATGATGTAGTAACAGGTTCTTTTTTAAAATCCTATATTGATGTCTCTCTTGCCAGGAAAAGTAATTTTTCCTTCCTCCCTTCCTTCCTTTCCCCAATGAAAAAAAAAATAAGAAAAGGAAATTCAATGTTCATCTCATTATAAAAATCCCAGTGTGTTTTTTCCTTTCATTGTATTTATGTTAGAATTCAAAAAAACCCTGCTCATCCTAAGAAAGTTGAAAAATAGAATACCAAGTTGAATTCTGTACTAATGTCTTTAGGAGTTGATCTTAATTTCTGCCAGACAAGTGCTTTAATCAGAAGAGAGGTACGTTTTGGGTTTTATCATCATGTGAAAAGTTGAGGTCAATGCTGTTTTGTCTTTGCTTCATCATACAATAAAAAAAATTAGGAGTGCTTTCTCTGCACTGGAATTTTATAGCAAAATAGCTGATACAGTTTGAATTAGCTGGGGTGCAAGCCTATTTGATTTCACAATAATATAATTAGCTTTTACTGTCAATTTTTAATTTTTGGACTCCATTGCTTAAAGTTGTGCAATTGAGTTAACACTCTTTAGCATAAAATCATTCAGTTCCTTTTTTTTGTGTTTTATGAACTTGCATATATGCTCTTTAGGCTAGGAATAGTCAAAGTAACTTGTTTCACTCTAACCGAATGCCCTGAAAATAATGAGTTCATTAGTACTATATATTAAAAAAAAAAAAGCGTCGAAAGTTAATTACCACACAAACAAAATCCTGTTAATTGAAACTGGATTCTTTATTTCTTCACCTCCACTGCAGAAACTGTTTTACCACTTAGAGAAGCCTTTTCTAATTTGGGTTGTTCAGCTAACTACATGCCCTAATTGGGTGAGCACAGATAAATGTAAAAGGCTTAATAAGCAATTGTGTAGTTTCATCACAAGGCCTAACATACTGTCTTTAAGCCCTAATGTCACACCATCGTAAAGGCTCGAGATGGGAATAATTTACTGTGCCACCTCTTTTTTTCATTCTCTTCTCTGACAACAGTTAATGACAGGATTATTCATAGAGTTTATTTTCTAATGCTTTATGCAGTCTAAGCCGAAACAATTGGACTCCTGCATCTCCTAGAAGAGAGTGTATTGTCTGTAATGTTTTATTACAGTTCATCAGAGTTCATTTCTGTTTTCCTGATTCCTTCGTTTAGAGAAAGCCTGGAGCGTCTTTCAATGTTTAAGAAAATAGAAAGAAGACCTATGGCTTGGCCCTGCCAGCTCACTATTGGTTCTAATTTGTCTATAAGGATTGTGGCCTACAAATCAGTAAGTTTGTAAAATCGTATGTTGTAGTGTATTTTGGCAGCAAGTTGGGTGCAGCTGCATGTTTTTAACTTACAGCTAAGGAAATAAAAGATAAAACAACATCCAAAATAATTATGGTAGCAATTTTATGTGCATAGAAACCAGTACATCTAAAACTGTGGTTCCCACAGCAACTCTAACTTCACCATATTGTACACATATGTTAAAGAAATAAAATTCACGATGTACAGAAATAGAAGTAATTGTCATCTATGCTGTGACACTTAATGGTATTGAAGTTGACAAACCTGATTAGGAGTGCTGCCATCATGTGAAGCTTTCCATTCGGCATCGGTGATATGTCTGCAGCTCAGTGAGACTTAATATATTATTTCTTAAGCCCTGTGCATGAGAGGAATTATACACGTGTACGTAAAATGGTGGGTGTAAATGTTTTATCAGCTATTGTTTGGGAAAAAAAAGTGTATTTTTTCAGCTTGTTTGCTTTATACTGTTTGGCAGAGCTTGTGCACAGTCTGTTTCCCTTACAGTTTATATGGGTCCTTCACAGAGTGCTAGGAAGAAGTAAGTGTATTTAAACACAGAAAATGTGCAAAATTCCAGTTATTGGGTAATTAGTAGGTAACTATATAGTGTGGCAGCATTGATGGATCTGGTGAGATGGAGATTAATTGGTTTGTTACTTGAACCCAAGACTGGGAGCCTGGCCAATATTGCAAGGTTTCAGAAGATGTATTATGAAGTTGAAATGTATCTGATTTCTAAGAGATAGGCGTATTAGCCTTGAAAGAGCTCTCTGCTGCCAGCTTTCTATTTATACTTACTCATAATTTTTTTTTATTAGGGTATTGTGCCAGACCTGTACAGATATTCAGTAAGAGTCCCCTCCCAAAGGTGTTTACACACAAAATAAATGAAGCTTGGGAGAGTAAGCAACATGAACCAAGTGACTAGCCTGAGGTCATACAAGAGTTGGATCAGAGCTAGGAATAGACTTGTGATAATCTGCTGACATAATCTATTCTGTCTTTTCTGTTTTCTGCCCAGTTCTCCATTTTTCTTCTCATTCACGAAGTATACCATCAATTTCACTTAAGTAGAGCGAAAAGAAATAATTTTTCTTTCCCTGTAGTTGGGAAACATTCACTCATTCCAGATATTTATGCCTTCTTTCCCTTCCCAGTCCTGTAACGCAACCAGGATCTTTTTCTGCCTTTTGGGAAAGTTGCAGTTAATGTAGGGTATTTTTATCCTGTAGTAGTAAGCCTCATGCAGAACTTGGGCAAACAAGCTGAGTGAGCATTGAGTCTTCTTGCATCTTTAACATATATCTTAGCGCTTTGTCAAAGGCGTTTGTGTAGGTGGAGGAAGTAAAATACGTAGCAAGCAAGTTACATCTTATCCTGTCACTAAAAGTCTTCCATAAATGATTTAGCCGATGACTTTAATGAATAACAAAGACAAATATGTAGTCAGTATGATATAGTTCAGGTGTTAGGTCTCATACAGATGAAACAGTGTGGTAGAAAGCGTGATGGTAGCAGTCAGAGATGCATATTTGGGGCTGTCATTATTGGTCCCTTATTGGCAAAATAATGCAGCACTTGGTCTAAGAATTTTTCGCATGTTCTGATAAGCCACTGATATGTTAAACATTCCTTTCTTTGAATTCTGATATAAAGGTCACAGAAGAGAAGGTGAAAAAAGTTTGGACGCTTGTGGATGCTAAAACCCTCAGAAAAGATGATGTTCAAAAAGAAACTGTTTACTGCTTGAATGATGATGATGAGACAGAGGTTCAGAAAGATGATACCATTCAAGGTATGACTTCTTTATGTGCACCCTGAAGACAAACTGAAGATAATGGCTCATACTCTTAAATCACCTAAGTGCCTTTTAGTTTTATCCTTTGAAGCCTAGCTGTGATCTTAGAATGTAAGCTCTGTAAGCTGAAGGAACACAGACTGTTACGTGAGACTCTTTGTCTCCACATATTTTACAGATTCTTACTTTTGTCAGTAATAGGAGTAATAGTAATACTGTCGGAATGGGAAGTCGGCTCGGAGTAACGATGGAGTCTCAATATGAGTATGGTCGCTCTCCTTTATTGCGCAGCTAACAAAAGCATATATAGGCAGAAAACAATAACATACACACCTGTCACACTGTGGTTGGTAGAATGCCACTATACACACACCTCCATCGCCACCGTGATTGGGACAGATCACCTGTCCATGCAGAGGGGCTTCTCCTTCTCTTCAGGTCATAGTTCCGCCCACATCCACTTAAGAGCAGGGGCTGTCGAACGGGACTAAGGCGTGCCCATTCTCACTCAGCCACTCCTCCACATAATACCACCAGGTGGAACTTGGAAGGCACTACAGCTTCCTAAACTGTATTCCATAGAGGATCATACCTCAGTTCTGTAGTGAGTAGTGCTGCTACCTCTATTCTGTTTTCAGATCTTCAGTTGTACTGATAACACAAATACTTTCATAACACTGCTTTTCTTCTAGATAAGCAACTGCTCTAGATATTCTGCAACTGGGAAGATGAAACCATTAAAGGAAGGTTTACTGTTCAAGAGTCTATTAGCTTTGCCGTTCAAATTTCGTAACAGGTTCAGTCTGAAGTGGTGGTATTCAGAATACTTCCATTATTACCTTCAGCTTCTTTCTGAGTGGATTAAATTCCTTAGAAGACTAAAGGCCCCAGAAACAGTATGAAGTAATCTACTTTTAAAAAATGGAGTTAAGCAAATGTGTTTAATTTTTTTTGCAATTTTTTTACTTATTTTTTCTCTCCTTTACTGTTTCAATCCCACACAAGTAGAGAGAGTGTTGTAACTATAAAGGGCAGAACTATTCAGATAACAGTATAGAACATGCTGTCAAATGAATAAAATAAATTGAAAAAGGAAGAGAAATACTGTATTTTTTTTATTTCACCTCTTTCAGTTGTAGTGGTCATAGGTGTTTGGTAGCAGTAGCAGTTAAAAATGTTCCAAGGAGAGTGTGGTTTTCTTTGTTTCTTTAAGCAGAGAGGATAGTTAAAAGCTAGTAGTCTGTTTATGTTTATAATTTCAAAACTTTTAGTAAAATGAAAAAAAAAAAAGATTCTACTTTTCATAGTGAATATATTTTAAAACGTTTGTGACCATTCTCTGTTGATGTCCTGACTGCCTAAATTGGTGAGTGGTTGTGGGATACTAGTAAAAAGAAGTGATGAACTGTTCAGTGTGAACAAAAGAGACCAAAAATTTCTCTATCAATGGTGTGATATTTCTTACAGTTAAAGAGCTGCTGATGCCTCATTGACTTCTGTGGACATTTTGAGAAATGTCACAATTAGACAATATTTTGCATTTGAAGCACCCGCACTGAGATTTCTTTCATTTTGCCTATGTGTTTGCTTTTCAGTTACCAGGAAAATGTATCTATCTATAGGTCTTTCATCCAGGGATTTACCTCAGTTCCTTCTGCTTTCTTCGCACCTGAGGATATTATCCCTAGTCTGCAACAGTATAATAAAGTGATGATGTTATAGGGAGGATCTTGTAGCTTGACGTGGGGGAATAAGTAGTTGGAACAATGATACTTCTGAGAAACTAACACCTTCCTGTTTTGTGGAGATATCTCTGTAATGTAAGGCACGGGAAGTAAAACAGGAATGTATAGAAAGACCACTTCTACATACAAGAGTGTTTAGGTTTTCCATTGTGTCTGAGGGTGTATCTCACTATGACTGTTAACACATTTTGTTCTCTGAATCCCTTCTGGTGTCATTTCCTGTCCGTGATTTGTGGTATGTTTGGGGTTTTTTGTATTACATTTGCAGGGAGTGTTGCAGTCTATTTGTTGAAATCTGTTCTGATTTGCTTAAATCTATTCTGTGAGCTTAACTTTGTTGGGCAAGATGTTCAGTTCCCTTATTTTCTTTCCTGCTCTCTACAAGGCTAGCCACGTTACATAAAACTATGTACAAGGAGTGCAACTGCTGTTTGTGAAGTACAAAATGTGTCTATGGGGTGTGTGGTTTTTTTGTTAACAGGGAAAGTAATTTGATGAGCGTGTGTAGAGTGTAGCTGTGGGCCATGCATGCGTTGTTAAAATATTCAGAGAGCTAATTTCAGTGTTAGAATTGTAGGCCCATATGCTTACCAGATGCTCTTCTCTTGTTCTCCAGGGTTTCGCTATGGGAGTGATATAGTTCCTTTTTCCAAGGAAGATGAAGAGCAAATGAAATACAAAACAGAAGCAAAATGTTTTTCTGTTTTGGGATTCAGCAGATCCTCTCAGGTACAGTACTAAACTTTTTCCCATTCAGCTTCCTGGGTTGTTCAAAACAATTGATTTCAGTTTGAGTTCGCTGAAGTTGTCGTGTTGTACTGGGTTCCAGTATTGGGAATGGGGCATCTGCAGTCAGGTATGCAGGGATGACTTATTTGCTGATTCTACATGTGAGCCTGTAAACAGTATGTACATGTAAACAGTGTGTAGTCTCGTGAAGGAGAGCAGCTCATAAATGTGGCCATTGGGTCCTCAAGTGAAGCAACAGCCACTGAACTTGGATCTCTGCAAGGTAGAGACAGGTATTGTAGTCTCATCTCATGAACTTGAATAGTGATGCCAGATCTGCAACAGAAGATGGTCTGTCTTCTGTTCAGGTCATGCAGAAGCTTTTTTGGGCTTTGTCCAGCCACGAGCATGTTCTTTTCAACAGAAGAAGCCTCTCCCTCGACCATTAAAGAAATGTTAAAGAAAGCCTAAGAACTGACTGTTCGTTCTCATTTCTGTAAGGATTAGTGAGCTTTGACTTGCTTCTTGTTTCTACTATAACAAAAACTAAATGTAGCGAAGACTTCATAGAACTTAGGTGAAGATAACATCATTCAAAAACTCTCCATATTTCATTGAGATGCTTGGTGTTTGTATGCACTTACCTGTACTTGTGATATTAACTTTGCCATTCTTTTTACCTGGAAGTTGTAAGAAACTTACATTGAGAAAGTACCTTAATAAAAGCTATCCAGCACAAGGTGATTTCCTGCAGAAAATCTAGCACTTGAGCCTTAGGAAAAGGCTTAACAAACCCTTCTTGAAGCAGGACACATGAGGAAAAGTACAGAGGTGTGAGCACCAGTAATTGCTAGAAATGTTAAGCTGCTCCCACTCTTTCTTCTCCAGGATTTTCAGACAGGGTGTCTGAAACTTTACTCATCTTGGAGTTCACTGCACCTAGTCCCCTTCACCACTCAGAACTGAAAGGAAATCGTAGGGCAGCTCTGCGCCTTCTATTCTGAAAGCTCCCAGCTCTCCTGCTCTTCTTTGAAACATCTCACTGCCTGACCAAAATAGAACCCTTGACAAAGGCTGAGGAAACCTATACTAGGACAGAAAGATGCTAATGAAATAGGAGGTATCTGTGTGAGCTTACTCCCGAATGGATGTAACTAAACATATTTTTACTTTACAGTACAGGTGGCACAGAGACCCCTTTATGTTGCTAGATATGCCCTTAGATTACTGCAGTGCGGTGGTCCAAAGCATGTTATTAACTGAGGAGCTGGGAAGTTATTTTGATTTATTGAAATGAGAAGCCAGCCCAAATGGGAACTGTAACCTGGTTGCTCCTTGAGGACATTCAGAACTTCAAGCTGTTGAGTAACATGGAAACTTGTGTACTGAAAGTGATTGATCAAGGAAACATTAGGGACATGGTTTAGTTTAGGGACATGATTTAGTGGTGGGATGTCAGGGTTAGGTTAAAGGTTGGACTCGATGATCTCAAAGGTCTTTTCCAACCAAAGTGATTCTATGATTCTATGTCATGCTTGAGCTTATATGCCCTAAACTGGCCAGGGCAGAGAGATGTTAAGGACGGCTAAGTCCTGTACCAGAAACTGGGTCTAGCAAGTGAAATGTTGTATCTGAACCCAGTGTCTCAATGAGAGAATTTCTTGCACCTTTTCACGCATTATTAGCCTACAGCTGAGTCTTACTATCTTCATTTAATTCTGTAAGATGTATTTCACCACATGCAGCGTTTTCTTATGCTGGAGGCTGGCCTCCCATTTTGACTTGAAGTCTGACTTTTATTGAAAACAGAAACTAAGAGGGAAAAACAGATGAGAAGCATCATGCTCCTGTAAGTGAGCTGTTATTTCACATGGATTTTCTTTTTTTTCCACCATTGGCCAGGTAGTGTGTTAATACCTTCAAATACATAGTTAATAATTAATTGTAGGAATATAATTAGTTGTAGGAATAATTTTGATTCACATGAATTTGCCTCAAAGAATTAACACATTGGTCTTATATTTTTTTTTTCAATGCACAAAATATTTATTGCTTTTGATAATTTTTATGATGTGCTTCTCTTGTCTGTGGATTTCATAATGAATAGGAATTACATCTTAAATAAAGTGTGCTCTGGTCCTGTAACTAGGAGGGTGAGTAATTATGCCCAATAGTAGCTGCATAGACCTCAGTGGAATAAAATTATTCAGGTGTGATTGCAGGATTAAAATTACACTGTATAGATAATGATATCAGGAAGTTTTAAACTACAGTGGGAATTTTCAAGACTCATGCTTTCTTTATGTTTTGTCTCCTGAATTTTGTTGTTTGGAATCATAATACTGACACTATTCAAATGTGTGTTTTATATTAAATTGTTTCTTTTAAAAACTTCGGAGAAAAGATAATTTATTACTGACTACAGAAACTGGAACAGCTCCAAATACATAATTAAAGAAGGAATAGAACCACCTCATATTATTTTTCTGAGTTATTCACATCCCTCAGGAAAGAAGATCAGAGGCCACTTAAACTTTGATTTTTAATTTATAAGCAATGCCATGGAAGTAATACTTGAAAATATTACAAAGGAACCATTTTTTTCAGACAAAGAAGATGTAGTGATACACACGTCTAGATATTTATACTATACTGAACATAAAATTTCCTGAGCTTTTAAAGACAGAACAGCAAAGAATAATTGCAGGTAGAATAATCTGAGTTGAAGAATGGTGCTGTAACACATTAAACAGATCTACTCTGGTGCAAGTTGTCACTGACTTCAACAGCATTATGGTAATTTGCTAAATAATGAAACTCCAGGTTAGTTTGGAGACAGTGTAATTTGAAGAGATTTTTCTTTAACAAAGAAAGGTCATTTTAACCAGTGTTCATAGCACTGTGCAGTCTTTCTGACAGTTTTTCACTATTGCAGTGTTTCTCTGGGTGTGTCTCTCAGCCTCTGTAGTTCCAGCAATGCCCTTTAAGGAAACTGTATTTTTGGGGGGGCGGGGAGGTGTCAGCCATGTTCATGAACAGCGTAACTGCTAGCAGAAGTGCTTCTTCGCCAGCACAGCTGTATATACTCCAGGTTGCTGTTAAAGTAGCTTTATCAATTAAGGATGTGACTTTTTTCAGCTCCTTTTTGACATGTCTTTGCTAGGAAGATTTAGTAGCATAAAAGTGGTGTCAGTTAGGTTTCAGTCTTTTGTTAACTACTGTGGTTTTCCACACTGGCTTTTGAATTACTGCAGTATTATTCAGATTGGTAACAGCTGCAAGTACTGTAGTTTTTCATGCCTGCCCATCAGTAGGAAGGTATGAGAATATCCTGCCGAATATGACTGAATATCCATATTGAGGGATAAATGGAGATATGAAACATATATAGGGCTTTAACTTCTATGTGCAGTAATTAAGTTTTGTGGAATCTCACTTGCGTAATGTCTTAGTTGTTTCATAATTTATTTGGTTCAGTCACATTAATGACATTTGGTTTAGATCAGGCTAACGCTTGACCATTTGAATCTGTAGATCCAGAGGCATTACTACATGGGTAGCCATGTTCTGAAGGTCTTTGCAGCGAAAGATGATGAGGTAAGGTGAACTGAAGTTTAATACAGAAGATGTTTTGCCGTGGAACAGAAAAGAATAGTACTGGCACTTGAAATTGTCCCTTCTTTCTGCTTTAATAAAACAAATATTCTTAATGCAGCTTACAGAAGTCTTGTTCCATTCCCCATTAGGATGAAAGGAAGTTGGATTAGACCCCAAATTAATACCACATCTCATGAATAATGAGAAACTAGTAAATACTATGTTTGCGCAGGGGCATGGGGAACCTGGAATTGGTGCTTAAGTCCATTCTCATGTGGAGCAACAGTGTGCCCTGTCACAGTATTATTTAGAACAGAGCTCCAAATTATTTTAAATATTAGAGGTAAAAAACCTCTACTGTAGTGTTCTGATGTGTTTCTTTGAGGGTTTGACTTCACTCCCTTTCTCTCTCTCATATAATACTTCTGAGAGCTCTTCACACCTAGCGAAAAAGGTGGAACGTGCTGGATCTAAAGTTCACTCAGCTTTGAATGGATCCACTATCATGATGAGATTTGACCTTTCTGCTGCTTCATTTTCTGAACATGAAAAATGCTTGTGTTGAAGTTATAGCTGAAATGGGAACTAGCCTTGAGTAGATCAGTGCTGTTGAATTCACTGTGAAAGATGTATTTCAGCAGACTAATGAGAACTTGAATGACTTTCTAGACTGTTTGGTTTGTTTTGGTTTTTTTTTTCCCCCAGAATGCAGCAGTTGCTTTTTCTGCCCTTGTTCATGCATTGGATGAGTTGAAAGTGGTAGCTATAGTGCGTTACGCTTTTGATAGAAGATGCAACCCGCAAATTGGGGTAGCCTTTCCGTATATTAAGGATGCATACGAGGTAATTTTTCACCCTTATGTTTCTGTAGAAAGCCTCCATATTGATGCTTTACAAATACCAATTAATAAATGGTCATATTTGAACCATATGAATTTGCAGTGTTATGTAATACCAGAAGAAACCAATGTGAATTTTCTGAGTGATTTTAGGAAATATTACTAAGTCTTGGGACAAGGAGGTAATAAATTAAGGTAATAAAGAAAATTCCATAGAAAAAATACATGGAAAAATAATGCCATATGTTTCTGTTGGTATCCTCTATATTACAGATTTAAATAACACTGATTTTTATTTAAATAAGATATATTAATATCATTTTATTTTCCTTGAAGTTAAATTTTTTTGGTATCTAGAAACAGTGTAGTCACATACTTATGTGGTAAGTTACCACTGCTTTCTTGCTGTATTACTATCTTACCTCTCTGAGTACAATCCAAAGTTGCACTAGATTCTTTCATTTTCTTAAACTGCAGATTTATCTCCAGGTTGCTTGGTAGTGCAAAATTTGAATTTGATAGTTGGCGTGGCATTTCAAGTGTGTCCAACTATGCTGTTGTCATGAGGTTTCCAAGTCAACTGGGACAGAGGGGGAGCTCACAGCACTTAAAGCTGTTGTTTAAATTCATATGGAGAGTTAGGAAGACAGTAGTATATTTATTTACTGGAAAAGGTTATTTTAAAAAACAGGAGAAAAAAAATAGTCTGTTTCTTACAGAAAAAAAAGTAAGTTCTGTACACAGCAGAATCATATTTGAAATAATTTTTTTAAAATGCTGAGAGACCCAGAAGCAACACAGTATGTCAGAATTTTTGCAGCATATGTTTTCACTGATCTGATGTTACTTACGAGAGACTATTGAAAGAGCTAAATATGTATAGCATGCCTAAGCAATGATGAAGGTGGGGGCGGACATAACAATCTTCAGACTTCTAAAGGGTATAAACATAAAGGATGGAAAAGAATTATTTAGGGTGGTATGAACTGGAGGAGGTATTTGAATAAAGAAAAAAATGAGGCTGAGAATGTTAAAAAAACAAAACCAACTTTTGACTTAGAAACACAGTAAGCTATGATAAAACCTCCCAAAGCGCCAATCTATGAGGTATTTAAGCCTTGGCCGGTTGGAGCTCTGCACAAGAAAAAGGGATCAGATGACCTAGGAGGTCTTTACTCCACCAGTAGAAAAATTAGGAGTGAGCCGTTGCTGTATTATAAAATAATGCTGTGTTTTATTCTGCTTAAAACTATGCTGCTTTGTCAATATTTTATTTAAGTATTTTGATACACATAGATATTAGATATTTGGATTTTTCTTATGCTTATATTGCCCTGCTAGGGCACTTTGGAATGCTTTAGATTTTTTTACTTCAGGCTCAGTTGTTTCTTTCTTCTTTTGTCTTGCTTAGTGTCTCATCTATGTGCAACTACCCTACATGGAAGACTTAAGACAGTACATATTTTCATCCTTGAAAAACAATAAAAAATGCATTCCTACAGGTAAGAGTCCTTTGCTGGGCAACTGGACAAAGTAACCTACTTGTCTTCCTTTAAGACACTCTAAAAGAGCTAGAATATTTGGCTTTCCAACAAAAATATAAGCCTTGTCATTATTTTGGCTTAGGAAAAAACTCAAGCCATTTGGGAATACATTATGGTGATGTCATCTTGAAGCATAAAACCTGTATTAAAACTTCGCCAGCTTAGTTGCAGGCTGAGCAGACAAGGTTTGCTGGCAGGCCTTTAAAACTGTCCTGTTAAATGACTTCTGACTTCGGTAATGGGATTATTCGTCTCACAGGATCGCCGTGATAGACGTTTGAGATTTAGTCCTCTGTATCCTTTGATCTCTGAACTCATTTGTGAGACTAAATGGCCAACTTTGTGGGACCTACAATATGTGATTAGCTAGCTAGAATTAGAATAGAGGTATTGGCTCCGTTTGTACAAAGCTAGTCCTGTAGCCAGCTGCAGCATGGCCTGTTAAAACTTCGCCAGCTTAGTTGCAGGCTGAGCAGACAAGGTTTGCTGGCAGGCCTTTAAAACTGTCCTGTTAAATGACTTCTGACTTCGGTAATGGGATTATTCGTCTCACAGGATCGCCGTGATAGACGTTTGAGATTGTCCTCTGTATCCTTTGATCTCTGAACTCATTTGTGAGACTAAATGGCCAACTTTGTGGGACCTACAATATGTGATTAGCTAGCTAGAATTAGAATAGAGGTATTGGCTCCGTTTGTACAAAGCTAGTCCTGTAGCCAGCTGCAGCATGGCCTGTTAGTATAATGTACAAAGGCAAAGAGTGTGCTTTCTGTGGTGTGTTGTTTTTTAAAGCATGCACTTACTGGTGTCCAGATTCAGATGGAGGGGGTCTTTGGAGAGCCATAGAACATGCAGCTATACCGAGGTTGACTCACTGTTCTGAGAATTTTGCACAGCAATGACCATAAATGGATGTTGTTTAAAATCCACTCCTGCTTCTTTAATTTGTTATGAGATCCACTGAATAGGCATCTGCATGTCAAGGTATATGAAGCATGCAGGATTGTTTCTGAAACGGTTTCTGTTTTCTTGCCTGTAGCAGCAGTTAGAGAACAAATCTAAAACCTGTCTTACTGAAGCAATAGTTGACTATTGTGAACTGTGTTAATTTGCAATCATAACTTTTAAAATTTATATTATGCCATTTAGTTTTTCAAACCAGCTGTTCTCCTAATTTTCTAAGTAGCCTGTAAACCTTCTGTTGCAAATAAAAACATCTTGAAAAAGAAGAAAAATGGAAGCAGAAAAGCAGCAATAATTCAGGTCTTGGAGCGGGGGGGATGGCTTTATGACTTGTCATTGTAGTCATTAAATAAAGCAGGACTTCTCTCACTGTGTCCATTATCCATATTCTTTATTGGCTTGTCTATATCTGCAGCATATTCTGTGGCATGTAATGACCTGGTCAAAATCTCACATTGTGAAGTGAATCTTCATTTATAAATTGTTTCAAGAAATGCATCCATCTGCAAGTGTATTTAATTTTTCTTTGTATGTAATTGCTCCCTTAGCGGATCAGTTATCTGCTGTTGACTCTTTGATTGATTCCATGAATTTGATTTATGAAGATGATGATGGAGAAACTTTTGAGGACCTGTTTAAGCCCAGCAAGATACCAAACCCTCATTTTCAGAGGTTATATCAAGTAAGATGAACTAGATGGCACTTTTTAAAAAAACTTCTTTTGTTAAGACTTTTCACCTTTCTGTCTTTCTCTGATTCACAGTGGAAAGATCTGCATTGTGAAGATAGGAATATAAATTCTTTTGCATTTAGGGATGGGGTAGCCAGTAATTTCTGTTGTCCCTGACATAGATTTTATTATTAAAATTTCCATTGGCCAGGAAGCAAGGGAAGTTACCCCTGTGCTGAAGTGTCTGCAACAGCATCAGTGATATGCACAGGCACCTAGACTAGACAAATTAAAACTTGCTTTGGGTATCTCAACACTGTATTGCCACGATCATGGTGTGGGCATAGACTCAGTCTTCAGCTTTTGGGAAAAGAGAAAAATTGCCTGAAAATCAGGGATCTCATAAGCTCCTCATTCTGTGTCCCATAAAATCTTGAGCAGAGTCACTTTTCTGTGCCTTGTTGCATTTAGCGGTGGTTCCAAAAAAGATCAGTCTGAGAGAAACCTGATCAGTAGTAAATGGTTAACATTGTTGACATTTAAAATATTCCATTTGGGTGTCTGAGCTGACGCATTTTACGGGCAAGCAGAACAGTTCACACTTGCAGTTATTGTATCAAACTGTCTACAATTTTGATTTACATTCCTTTCATAACGTGAAGATTTTCATTGCAACTGTGAGGATGAGAGACTTAATTATACATCGGAATTCAAATGTTCAAAAAAAATGACACTGCAAATTCAAAAATAAGGAAAATTACAATGCAGTTTATGCAGCTGCAGAATTGTGTTGTATACAGAGCCATGGAGATATATTGAGAGTGTGACTCCACTCTGAAAATTACCAAAAATGGTATTACAGCATCCACATTAATCCTATCTCAGTAATTCCAAATGATTTTTTTTTTGGTTTACAAGTAGGAAGAAGATGCTTTTTTAAATTAAAAACACTTACCCTGCTTCCAAAAGCCATTCTGCCTCAGTATTGTCAGAAGAAGCAAAGGATTTGAAGGTCATATTTACGTTTCGGGAACACATGTAAGCCCATTGTCTTCAAATCCTGCTCTAGCTGACACCTGAAGAACTCGGTGTTCCCTTCAAATTCTGCCAGTCATTGACAAGGCAGTGTGTAACTGAATGCAAGATTTGGTCAGTAGAAGGTTATTGCTGGGCAAGAGCTTAAAATGGATTGACCTTTGTATGATTCGTATTTTAGGAAGGATTGTAAAGCTTGGGTATTACAACACAAAGATGGTTTTGCTTGTAAATGAAATACATAGGGGACAGAATTTCCTCTCTTATATTGCTAGATACAATTTTGCATTCTTTTGGTTCAGTGAATGTTGCCTATCAACAAAAGATTTTCTTTAGGTGTGCTATTTGTCTTCTGAAACAGTATGGTGGTGGTGTCCCAGCAGTTGAGTCAAGTGCTGCTAGAAGAGAGTAGCTGCCTAACTTGCCAATTTCCTTAAAGGATAATAGGATTTTGTAAAGGTGAATGCTACGGGTGGGGAAAAAAGTATTTATTGACTGTTTCAACATACTAGGTAGTATACAGCTTCTGTCCACAGTGCTTGCTGTTTATAAAGCCCTAAATTACCAGTCTTTTTAGTGCTTTCTTTTGCCTGTGCACAATCCCAATTTTTTGTTTTGGTTACAAAACTGCTATTAATCCATATAAGTTGCGAAAATACTGTTCTTTCCTTTGCTGCAAACGTGTTCCAGATTCTTAGTATTTTGTTCTTAGACCAAGTGGCACTGCTGGTTCTTGAAGAACTACAAAGAAAAAAATACACATCGTCTTTTGAATGTAGCAGTAAATTGATTGGGCTGAACAGGACCTATAGGTGATTTGGAAAAATAACTCTGAAGAAAGGACGAACTCCCCCTTCATTTCCTTGCTCTGTTGCCTCATGGAGATATTTGGAATGATAAGTGACAAGAGCCAGAATTTAAACAGACACATCAAGCTAAATTGTATCTCTGGAAGTAGTGGTAGGCATCAGGAAATGACAGAGTGGGTGGAAAGGAGTTGCTAATGCTTGCTGGAGTAGAAGATGAGGAATATCCTATATCCAGAGTTTAAACTTTTATTCCTTGCTTCCAGAAAAGCTCAAGTGAACTTCCATAGCTTTTGTGGTGGCAGACTTCCAATGACATTGTTTAAGTTGTTCCTCTTAAATGCAGGGTTTGAAGCTCATAAGACATTTGGGGAATGCAGTGCATTTTATTTGGTGGCCAAATAAACAAATTGCTCACTAATAATTGTTCTGTACCGAGAAAGACCTGGTGGGAGGGGGGAAGGTTTGTGGGGATGGTGGACTGCAGCATCGCATAGTTCATGGGATGCAGCTGCAGTCTGCATCTAAATATGCTGTAATGGCCCTTGTTAGATGACGTGTAAGCAACCATAGAGGACTGAGCTCATTTTTTAGTGATTGGACTGTATAGTGATGTTCTTTGAAAAAGCAGAGCAGCCGGGGGAAAGGAGGTAGCTCATAGAAGCCTGTAAGGGCTTTCAGCAACAAGTAGTCCTACCTTTAGTTGAATGTAGTGAATCTGTTGGAAGGTTATTTTGAAATCATCACAAACTAGGTGTAAACTGAACTTTAAGACATTTGCGTTGGGATTCAGTTCACACATGTTGAACCATCTAAAAGCTAGCTAACTAGTGTAAGCTGAGTTGTCCAAGCCTATTCCATAATCCATGAAAAAAGAACCTTGGGAAAGTAATTGATTCTTCTTGTTTTGGAGATCATAAGTCCACTAATGTTGTTTTAGTATTTTTTTTTTTATCACAAGAGCCATTACTGCAGCTTCCAGCAACATTTTTACTCTCTTTCAAAATGATTATGCCTTAAATCTTTGCAAGTGTTTCCAAATCAGTAGCCTTGTATGACTGCCTCCTTTTGAAAGTATGCTCTAATATGGATTGGAATCTTAATGGCTGCATGAAAGCACACCAGTATTGATGTGTAACATATGGTCTGGATTTTCTTTATTGGCAGCTTTCCAGCATGAATAGAGGGGGGTTTTGTTTGCTTTGGTTTTGTTTTTTAAATTTGTCATGTCTGACAGCCAACAGGGGAGAAAACCTCTGCTGTATTCCTAGTTTACTGAGTAAGTTACCTTCCCACTTGTGTCCAATTCACGCAGTACAGTGGGCTTGGAAAAATTATTCTCCCATGTACATCATGTGTTTTTATGTATGCATATGTGTGCATGCACTGGTATCTGTGTATATACATGCACATACATATACATCTCTACTGCTATCCCACATGTGTCAATCTCACAAGAGATACCTACTTTGTTTTTGAAATTCTCAATGGAATTTCTGTAGCCTGCCTCATTAACCTCATCTCTCTTGCTCTGCTTGGCTCCCTGACTGTGTGCACTGTCTTTACACTTTGGTGAAAAAGCCTTCTCCTGTGTAGCTTCTACCATCTGTTCCAACTTTGATGCACATCTGTTAGGCCCCTTCATTCCCTCGCTCTTTTCAAAGCTAATTTGCAAATGTACCTGTATTCTGTGCCTCACCTGTGCACATTTAACTTCTCTCTTTCCATTTGCTCTTAAACTGGTGAAAATTTCTTGTGTATGCATACTGAGTTTTATTGACCAAAACAAACTATTTTCTTTGAGGGGCAATAAGCTGTGACAATAACTGGAATACATGGTTGGGGTATATATCTCATTGCCTAATTTTGGAATGTATAGAAATCTCTCCCATGTGACTGTTTTCTAGTAGAACTGCATTTTAAAGGTAAAATGAAGTTCAAAAGCTGAATAGATACAGATGACTGTTTCATTCCTGGGATTTTCCTAATAATTTTCATATAACTCATTCCAGTGAGTGAGTGTGGGAACACTCATCTGCATCAGTATTCTTGTTTAATATCATTATTAATCTCCTTAAACAACTGATCATATGACTTTCAATCCACTTGTGAGCTGGAGTATTTGTCAGCAATATGAAGGTAGTTTCTTCCATATGGAAGGTATTTTGCATGTACCATGTGATGTCAGGCATACAGGCATTTTATTAAAAGCACATAAACTAAAAGGGTTTTTTTGCTCAAATTGTTTCTTGCAGTGTTTGCAGCATAAGGCTTTTCACCCCAATGAGCCATTGCCACCAGTTGAACAGCACCTTTTAGAGATGCTGGAGATACCCCATGTGGTAAAAGAAAGGTGTCAGGCTTCTCTTGAAAAAGTAAAAGCACTTTTCCCCCTAAAGGAAGTTGGCAAGAAAAAAGAAGAGAAGACTGCTCAAGACATCTTCAAAGACAAGTAAGTTGGAAATGTATTATGGATTTTTTTGAAACTTTTTTTTTTACACTTCAAATTGTTTTTGCTGGATGAAGCAGGCTCAGAGTCTTTTGAACATAAGATCAATGAGTTAGACACTGAAAAAATACTGATGGGTGAAGAATATTGTGGTACCACAGTACATCTGGGGTATTTTGTGAATAGTGGTGGACTTTCTATTATGGGGCAAGACACATCAGGAACCAGTCTGTAGATTCCTCATGTCTGTATTTGTTGTCACAGAATCCATCAGGTTGGAAGGGCCTCAGGAGGTTTCTTGTTCAACCTACTGCTCAAAGCAGGGTCACCTATGAGATCTAAACAAGTAACTCAGGGCTTCATCCAGTCTGATGTTGAAAGCATCCAGGTATGGAGACTGCACATCCTCTATGGGCAACCTGTTGCATTGCTCACTGTCTCCTGGTGAAACAGTTTCTCCTACTGGTAGTTATAAAATAGTTCACATAAGAATAACAGTGGGTCTAATACAGTTTAGAATAAATGTGATGGAGCTTTAAATTAGCTGTAAAAGTGAGTATTCCTTCTTGGCATGCTCTATGAGCCAGCAGTGTGCCCAGGTGGCCAAAAGGGCCAATAGCATCCTGGCTTGTATCAGAAATAGTGTGGCCAGCAGGACTAGGGAAGTGATCGTGGCCCTGTACTGGGCACTGGTGAGGCCTCACCTCAAATACTGTGTTCAGTTTTGGGCCCCTCGCAGCAAGAAAGACCTTGAGTTGCTGGAGCATGTCCAGAGAAGGGCAAGGAAGCTGGTGAGGGGTCTGGAGCACAAGTCTTGTGAGGAGCAGCTGAGGGCACTGGGGTTGTTCAGCCTGGAGAAAAGGAGGCTGAGGGGCGACCTTACCGCCCTCTACAACTGCCTGAAAGGAGGGTGTAGTGAGGTGGGGGTCGGTCTCTTCTCGCAAGTAACAAGTGGTAGGGCAAGAGGAAATGGCCTGAAGTTGTGCCAGGGGAGGTTTAGGTTGGATATTAGGAAAAATGTCTTCACTGAAAGGGTTGTCAAGCATTGCAACAGGCTGCCCAGGGAAGTGATTGAGTCCCCATCCCTGGAGGTGTTTAAAAGATGGGCAGATGTGGCGCTTAAGAGCATGGCTTAGTGGTGGACTTGGCAGTGTTAGGTTAATGGTTGGACTTGATGATCATAAAGGTCTTTTCTAGCTGAAATGGCTCTATGATTTAGGTTGTTCTGTAGCTTTCATTTTGAATTCCAAATCAAAAGAAAAGGAGCTTCATGATCTGCTGTGCAATAAATGTGGATGTCTTGAAAAATAAAACTGTTATGGACTCTTCCTGAAACATCTATTGTTTGAACAGTTTTTAAGATAATTTTTCTTATTACATATACTGTGTTTACTTTATTTGTGCTGCAAATATGAAGAGTAAGTGCTTAATTGTTACCTCATTGGTACTGTCACCCCAGCCACAAGTCAATTTTCTCAAACGAAATTAGCTTCTTTGAGCTTAATTTATTGAATGCCTATAATATAACTAGTGGGTCCCCTGGGATGTTGGGGAGTTCTCAGTTAGCTCCTTCTCCCTCCAGTTTGTCATTGTTAGATCAGTCCTTTCATAGCATCCTCCTCGGATGCTAGGAACAACGTCTTTGAGCCATTTTGAGGCCTTGCTTAGCTGAGCTGTCATATATCCTTTTCCTTGGGCTGGCTAGGGCCTCCTCAGCGTGTTATCTTTGGGGTGTTCCTAGTCCCCAGACATAGGACTTCTCACGTTACTGCTCTGGAATAATGACCGCGTTTCTGTATACAGACTGAGAAACACCTTGCTTTTTCTTTTATTTATTGCTGTGTGTGCTTGTCTTGCCTTGGCGTGTCTGTGAATTCATACTGATTAAATCCTCTTGTCTTTGCTCTGTGCCCCAGTTTGTCTGTGTGCGTGTGTATGCATACACACATTTATATGTGTATTTTAAAAAGTGACAGAACCAGTTTAAAAAAAATAAAACTTGGGTTCAAACAAGCTAGGGAGAGAATTTAAACAAAAAACAGTGACCCATTACTGGCAGTTGCTTAAAAACATATCGCCCCAAAGGCATCAATTTGACAAGCAAGAAGGAAAGCTATTTTGTTTAAAAACTGGTTTCCTTTAGACAAGCGATGAAAGCAGCTATAAAAAGAATTGAGATAGAAATTGGTGTAGGGCATTAAAATGATTAAAAAAAATCTGTAGGGTAGGCAAAAGGATACAGACTCAACTATGCAAAGAAGAATGGATGGCAATAGGATTAGAAAATATAAAAACCCATGGTACTGCTGCAGTAATGAATGGGAACGGTAGTTTTGTCAGTGCTACAACAGAAGTGTTAACTTCATGGTTTTTGTTCTGTGTTTAAAGAAAAGCTGAGTGATACAATTAAATCACTGGATAAAGAAAAGTACATCACTGCAGCAATGACTAAGGAAATGTTAAACACCAGATAACATTCAACTTATTAAAATTATCAGATCTAGATAATTTGCAATAAAAGTTTTGAAGAAGTTGGCTAGAAGCTCTCTTGACCATTATTTTTGTTTTCTAAAACTGATTTGTGTCTCCTATCATCATGTTGACCTGATTCATGTCTACTTAATTTTTAAGGTCTAATGGGATTAAGGCAGCATAAATGTAGGCATGATATCTTAATACAGATTTTAATATTCAGCATTTGTTTGTTTCACTTTTGCTAAGCTTTGTGTAGTTTGAAAAATCCAGTAAAATAGAAAGCATTTTACTTTTTCCTTCTTAGGTTAGCTTTGGAGAGGCTGTTACCTCATCCAGCTTTGCAGTATGTGAGTGGCTTCTATATAAATGTAGCAGTGGGTGTTTTAAATTAATCTTGTATTTTGTTGATTTTTCTTAAACAGTTGTTGCACGTTTTACAGTTTAAAAATACTGCTAATCGGTGCATTACCATTAACAGATTCTAAATGTCAGATCCTTGGCTGGTATAAATGGGTATGGATTCATTAGTTTCTGCTGCACTGCGCCCATTAATGACAGCTATAGTTCCTAGGCAGTTAAATGCAGCAGCTTTGTTTATGTTCTCCTCCTTCCTCCGATCCCAAAGCATTTTGAATCGGTAAAAATAATGCAGGAGGAAAAATATTTCAAGACATTGCAATTGAGTGGAAAACACCTTTGAAGAATAATATTCTAAAAGAATTTTCATTGTTCTTTGCACCTTTCATCAGACCGCATCAGTACACAAGAATTTTGGTTCAAGTAGAAGTTCTAAACCCACTGGTGTTGCTAAGTATCAGTTTCTCCATTTTACAGACAGGCATATCAGCTGTCCAAAACAATCAAGCAACTTGTTCAAGGTCAGCCAGAAAGTCAGCAAAGTTGAGCGTGAAGCAAGGTATCCTATCCTTGTCCTAAGGCATAACCAAAGTCATCATTCCTCCTAGAGTGATAAGTAAGGTTATGTTGGATGACAGGAGTTGCTGAGGAAAAGGGATTTAATTTCTGTAGTGACAAAATTAAGTAAAGGACAGAGAACGCTACTGAAACAAGGTGGGATAGACACCGAATGTAAAACGGGGGAGGAGTGTGCTATAGAAAGCAAAAAGGAAGACTGTACAAGTTCTTTCTAATAGTTTTTAAAATCAGTTCTAACCTTGTAGAATGCAAAGTGGCACCTAGTCCAGATGTCTGACTTGGTCCCTACGTTGTCACGCAATTTTTCTTTCCACCGCAGTCGTAGAATTTTTAAGAAAAACTTCTCTTCTTACTTTGTTTTGGGATTCCTTGAACACAAATTCTGCTGTTTAGATCGCTGAGTAGCTTTCAGGCATTCTTAAACTGAAATCGATCCTTCAGTGTCAGTAGCTTGTCTCATTAAGTGACACGGAACACAGTGTCTGATTTTCTTCCCCTTTTGTGATTAGCTGGATTTTCTTCTTTTGCCAAGATGTGCTCTAAAGTTTGGCACGTTAGATGTTATAATTAAGTTCCTGGTTTGAATGTACACCTTGGTATAGGTTACCTGTAAGAGCAAAGCTAGAAAGTAGCCTAAAATCACAAGTAACCTTTTAAAAATAGCAAACAGTCTTTTGAGATCTAGCTTAAAATGTCCTAGAGAGTTGTTACATACTTAATTGTGGTTTATCTAGTATGCTTTGACTGCTCTAAGTGGAAGTTTATAAAGCTCTTGTGTTCTGATGGGAGAATATGGGTTATTGGACTCAAAAGCCACAGATTTCTAGTAGCTATCAATTCTAAGACAGGAACTAGCAGATAATTTTTGAAGAGTAAATGAATTTCTTATATGTTGTTTCATTGCCATTTCATGTTAAGATCATCTGGTAAGAATACCAAACATCATGTTATATACTGTAAATCATATACTGTAAATTATCAAGGTTAACTCAATATACAGGTTCCAAATAAAGTGACTGGACATACTGTATATTTAGAAAGGTGGAGAAGATGTGTACGAGTAAATTCATTCCTGAAATAAACATGAATAATCTCGCACCTTCAACAAGCGGCACCTTTGCTTTATGCTAAGATAACGTTTGGTCTCTGTTTTTACTGTCTGCTTTGTGCAGCCCATGGGGAAAAATGAGGCATGGTTTAGTGTTAATTTGGGAACAGTTGTATAATGAAGTTTTGTTCAGTGTATATTTCATTAGTTTACTGACTCCCTACTTAGGCAGGACAGTTTAAGTGTTTATATTCATTTTTGTCCTTCTCATTTGCAGCAGTGATGATGGACCCAACCCTAAGAAACCAAAAATTGAAGACGAGGAAGGTAGCTTTAGCATAATGAAACTTGCTGAAGGCAATGTCACCTCTGTAAGCATGTTTTTACAAATCTGATTATTAAAGGGAAGGATTAATTTCTCTAAGAGTATTATAGTGAATATACAGAACTCCTGATAAAAGGATAGTTTCTAGCTGAAACATGACTGAAGTATTGTCTGCTTGTAGATTTGAGACTCTGCTAGAGATTGTAAAGACAACGTTCTCTGCCCTTAGGTGTATGTTAGAACAAGTTTCCATCTGTCTTGGATATTTTAGGAGAAGATTCTCCCCCAGTGTCTAGAACTCTAGAGGGCAAGCCTGAGGATCTGAAGAAAACAGAATCTCAGATTTGGGGTTCAGTGGTTGAATTCTGTTGCTCTCTTTCATACCATCTGCAACATAGAAGTTGCCTCTGTATATTTGATCAAAGGTGTTGCTGTGATTTTAGAGACTGTTCTCTGCTTTGGTTGGGGTTCTAAATTAGAAATTTGACTTCATCTTGCTGATACATTAAACGTGTAACTTAATTCCAGATATTGTTTACATGGGCAGATGAAGCCCATATCCTAACTGTGCGCCTTCCTGTATTTGATCTTTTGAATTAAAGAAAAAAGGTGATTTCATATTGATTGAGAGAACGGCACTTGCTTTCAAACCATCCTTTAAGGTTGGTTTTTAAAATGCATAATTGAGATTTTTAAAAAGATTTAAATATTTTGTACTCCTAACATGCACTGATTTTTCCTGAAAAGCAGCATTTCCTGATTTAAGAGAAGCACAAAGAGATCAAGCAAGCTTATTGAAAAATTGAAGAGTTATTTTGATAGAAAAGCATAAAATTTTCAAATAAACTAAGGAGAATTTTGATTCCTGAAAGGAGATATTAAGCAATATAATTTTTTTTCCTAAAGTTATTGCATACATTTTTCAGTAAGCAATTATTTATATTTGACCTGGTTTTAGTTCCTTTGTAAGGTTTCTGCACTTGTATGCCCATTTAGAGCTTCAGCTTTAAGGTGTCAGACTGGGCCAGAAAGGGTAGATGAATTGAGTGGAAGCTTTTAATGTTGAGCTTCCTTATTGGAGCGGCAAACCAATGATTCTGTACCCACATGCCTGGGAGCTCCCATTCCTCATTAAGCGTCTGTCAAGATTAGTGAGAGGTCTGTGCCACAGGAAGCGTCAAAGCTGAACTAGCAGATAGCCTGAATTACTGTGCTTCTGACCTCTAAACCCCAGGGAATATGGTTGGCTTATGAGAGTGCAGCACAGTAAGTGTAAGTTCATCTTGCTCATGTCATAACTAACCTTTGCTAGGAGTACTGCGCGTTAACACACATTGTAAGACTTCAGTTTTATGAGTCCGCGTGCGGAGAATTGTAGATCTTCTGTTTCCATATTAAAATAAATAGAAATTGGAAGATTCTTGTTGCCTTGCAAGAAGAGACGGATATTAGCACATAATTGTATCATTCTTGGACCTTTTGTAGGTTGGCAGTGTTAACCCAGCAGAAGATTTCCGAATTCTGGTGAGGCAGAAAAATACTGACTTCAAAGATGGTAAATGACTTTTATCTATCTTAAATATAATTAGCAGCATCTTCAGGGGTCAGTAAATGCAATCCATTTGTCTAAATGTAAGTTTCTAGGGCTATGTGAGATGCTCTGGAGTTTACTGCCTAGTTTCCAGTGCCACTCAGGAAAGAAAGGTGTCACTCATAATTCCCATGTCAAAATTTGCCTACCCCATTCAAAAGCCTCTGATAACCATGTTTGTGTAAGATGGCACTAGACAGCTACATTGAGGCATCTGAGCAGCTCCTCCAGGTGGAGGAGCAGAAGATCCCTTGGTACTGACTGACTGCCTCATTCAAACTGGGTATCAGCTTCTCATCTGGCTTCATGGGATCTTTCTGACTTGAAGTGGATGGCTATTGGCTGTGCATGGTGTGAGAAACCTGTCTTCTGCTGTCTACTTACTCTGTTCTATGAAGAAACAAGAATCTGATGCCTGGGATTTAAATCTTTACATGCAAAGATTGTTTCTTACTGCTTGTTGTGAGCAAAAGAAAGCATGGGTGAATTTAGGGTGTAATAAGCAGGTTGTCTGTGACTATTAAAGATGAGATCAGGCTCTGTGTATGCTGAATCTATTCTCAGCATACAGCAAGACAGGGGTTCGATGCAGAAATGAGGAAGAATACAAAGCACAGGTCAGCCACTGTCTTGCATGCTCTAAGTCTGAAAATGCAAAGACATTACTGTCTGTATGGTATTTCCCTACTGGAATAGCTATACAGAGATATATGTAATCCAAAGGTATATAAAAAAGAATGCACCAGATGGATGGCGTCCTTTTTTCTTTTAAAGGATGATTTGAAGGTTGTGGCAAGATAAACCTCATCTGCCGAATAGCCACTAATGTAGCAGTTCTTTATAAAGAAAAAAATTTGCAGCGGTGCTGAAAAATGAGGTGCTGGGTATTTCAACAAGGCCTTTGGTCCTTTTGATTGTAGTTTGAGTAGGGTGTTGAGTAGTATATTGATTTGTGCTACAGTCTGTTAAAGCCTACGTAGCTATTTCTCTCCAGAGTTTCCAGACCCATAAGCCAGCTAGCCAGCTTTTTACACGGATTTTACACTAGATCCAGAAGAAATTCTCCATTGAAAAAATATTTAGAATCGTGTTCTCAAATCTCAGATAGGTTAAGATGCAGTAAAAAAGCATTTTATAATACATTAGGATACAGAAACTCTGAAACAGTCAACTACTTTGTTACAGTAATTAATTTTATCGTGTAGGAAGGCTTTAAGGCAGAAATAAGTATAGTGATCACCCTTGAAGATGGTTTAACTACAGAGAGCTTAAATACGTCCACTTGGTAGCTATGCTGGAGATAAGTGCAGTACACGTTTGGATGGCTTCTGAAATTTAAGCAATCTGCTTTTATTTTTTGTGATCTGCTCTGTAATAATAAGGTGTAGTTAGACAGATGTACTGCGGTCACCCATTTAAAGGAGAGAGAGAAGCCACTATAAATAAAAACATGCTCTGCATATTATTTTTTTTCTTCTGCATAATCCTTTTTCTGCTTTAGAGCCTTTTAGGTAGCTTAATACATAAAACATTACAGGCATGTTTTTAATGGCTTGCTGTATTGCATTCTGGTTCTGTAAATAGTAAGTTCTGCCTTAAAACTATTCAGTGGTTCTAAGGGGTTTTTTTAGTATAATTTTGTATCATATTTAATGATAAAACTTTTTTCTTCTGCTAGAACATGTAACATATAAAATGTCTTTGCAGGAAAGGATGATCTGTGGCATTCAAATAATTTATTGGGAAAAATATTTTTTATAATATATAAATAATATATATTTATATTTACTCATATTTACTCATTTATGTATATTAATAATATATAATTTAATAATAACCTAGGAGAGCTACTAAGTTGTGTCCTTTTTTGCTTTTTTCTTGTATAAAAAGAGCATCCAGTGTAGTCTTCCAAACTGAATAGAGCCTACATTCTCATTTTAAAACAAAATAGCAACAGAGTGCTTCCATAGGGGAGGAGAAAGGCCTTTTAACTGTTTGATTGGGGGTACGTTTTTTTGGTAGGTAGAGAAGAACTGTTGTACTTTAAATACTGACAGTACAGTGGTTTTTTAATTAAGCTGCAGGTTAATGACACATGTCCTTTTCAGTTGACAGCAAGTATCTCACCAAAACTATAAAGTTATCAAGACCAAAGTATGGCAAGGGATTTTTTTCTTTTTTCAAACAGCTTGTAGGAAGTCCTGATGGTATATTTATCATCAAAAATGAGTACCAATGCATCTGCTGCAGTGGCTTCACTGGAATTTGATGATCAGGGTTTGTGCCATTTATAGGAGAAGCCTAAGTGCAAGTTAGACAGCCGGTGCCTGATGCCGTGACCCGTGGCAGACCAGAGCAGGAGAAACGGTGCACTCGCTGTTAGTGAGAACTAGGTCACTAATGTGTAAATAAATTTTTTCAGAAAATCGAAGCATTTCAAATTGACAAAGGTCTTAGGGATAGGTTTTCTGAGATAGGCTGCTCAATTCTTGAAACAGTAATCAACTTTGTTTTTAATGGACATCTCTATAGTTTATTACAGTAAGGCCCCACTTACAACTTGCATGATGAGCTGTGTGTCAAGCTACTGGTTAATGTTGATTGCTCATGTAACTAGTATTGTGTTTCCCCTCCAGACACCCATGCTTTCTTGTTTGCATTCATAACCAGAGAGATGTCATTTTATGCAGGTCTTATTTTGAGCAGGTTACAAGTGCACAAAGAGCAGTCTTCTGATAACAGCTTCTGACATTTTTGTCAATGAATGCAAATAAAATAGATTAGTTTGCCTGAGTGGAATCTAATCGTTACTCCCAAGGGTATACAATGAGTTTCTTCATTGCTGTGGCTGCAGAGAAGAGACTCAAATGCAGTGAGTGCTTGCCATCTTCGTAGTGCCAAAGGAGTAGCCACATGACTACCAGTTCATCCTGTTCAACTATTTACAAGTTTCCATCCATGTCTGCATTTCTTGAGAGCAGAAGGTGTCTGATATGGGGTGTTGTATTTTCATAGGCTTCTGTAGAAGATAGGATGGCTTAATGGGGGTAAAAAAGATACTGACACATGCATAGTATTTTCTTTGGTTTGTAAATTTTCTGTGCAAACTGATAGGCCAGATTTCATTGCATCTTACAGGACCCCTATCTGAGAACATGATGTCTGAAGTCCTGTAGTCAAACGAGCTTTTTTTATTTTACTGGTTGCCAGTGAAGAGGGAAATCTGCAATGACAACTGTACAGTTTATGGACATAATAAAAAAAGGTCCATAGACAAATTGTACCAAATGCTCATTTTTGTATTTGTAGCAAGTTTGTTAATATTTTTATTCCTAGTCATCTCTAGAAAAATGCCTTTAATGCCTTAAAAGAGTCGGTAATTGCACATGGAGATTTCAGCGAATATTCTGTTGTCCCTGAGGTGTCACACTTTTGCCATGGCAAGTAGATAACTTCTTCAGTAAAATGTGAAACACTGGTTTTGTACTGGATGCTTCGTGTGCATGAAAGAATTGTGCGTAAGAGATTTGCAATGGGAATGTATTAGACGGCTGCAACAAGGATGATACTTTATTGCAAGAGTTTCTGTAGAAATGTGCATAGTTAACTACCTTTCTAGACCTAAGATAATTTTTAAAAACTCCTAGTATTTACTTTCACTTTTTGTGGCATATGTCTTTGCAGTTCATCTGCATTCTTATCTTACTGGATGTTTTTGTGACTATTCATGCTCTACTGCTAGGTAGGCCAAATGCAATGACTGGTTTGATGAAAATGATTCAGTCATTAGAAGAGTATTTGCAAACCAAATACTCGAGTATATAAAATCACTTTGAAGTTTTCTGTATGTGTGCTTCACAGAGAAGATGAAGGCAGATTTGTCTTTGAAGGGCATAGCGATCGGGTGAGACGCAAAGCTCTGAGTTGCAACAAACAGAATTTGGATTAGATGTTGTGGGGGGAAAAAGAAATCACATTGGTGGTAGTCAAACATGGAAAGAGGGGCCCAGAGAACTTGGAGACTCTCCATCTTTGGAGCTACTCAGAACTGAAGTTTGTGGAGCACTGAGCCTCCTGATACACAGTGACCCTGCTTTGAAGTGGGGGGTTGGACCATTCAGTCATCCAGCCTCAATCATTCTGATCCATACTCACAGGCCATTTAGAGAGACCATGTAAAAACTGAACAGAACCTCATAGGACACCGTAGTAGTTCAACAGCTCTTGATCTTAAAATTCTTATTTCTTGGCTTAAAGATGAGGGAAGTCCTTAAAAAATAGGACAGTTTCCAGTTTAGAATGTCTTTCTTCTTTTTAATTACAAAAAGATTATACTTAAAAAGCAGTAGTTTAATTATCAGGTGATTTAACTGATTTGTTAGTGACTCTTACTTTTAAGCACTGTCCATTAATACAAATCATTGCCACCATCAGTGGATAAATCAGAAGCTTGGTAACAACAGAAGTCTTTCATCTACAGAACTAACCATATTTTAACCTGATCGATTTTTTTTTAGGGGGAAAAAAATCCCCAAGGAATTGAACTTGGACTATAATACAGTTTTATCTATTTTTATTCTGTAGTCTGGTTGGCATAGTAATCAAGACGAAGGACTGAACTGAACAAACATGAAAATATAACTACACTTTTGTACTGTAAATATTCAGAGATAACAAGTGAATATAATTGTTCGTGACATATTTCACAAGAAGTAACAGCACTGGTGAATGTATTTTAGAACAGAGAATGTGTCTGAATGCCAGTGGGGAAGGGTTTAAATTCTATTAGAACTGAAAGATCTTCTATTCAAAGATACTTTTTTTTTTTTTTTTTTTTTAAATATGTAGTTCTCCAGCCTTTAATCACTGTATTTGTTGTCTAACCAATCAGGTACAGTAGGAGGAAACAGGAGATTAAAATTTCTTGGGATGACCTACAGAATATGGTAGTTACTAGTAGTGCTGGAATTCCAGTTTATGCAAAATGTAGAAGTTCATTAGTTCATTTTAGTTAAATGTGTGAGGGAATGAAGGGGGTTGGGAGAGAACAGAAAGGTTATTATTACACAGCAGTGCCTTAAATAGGCTGTCAGTTTGTAACTCTAGGACCTGCATGAGAAAACCCCAATGCCTGAGACTTGTCTGGGACACATCAGAGTTACTGCTAATATTCACAGATGAGTTAGTTAGAACTGCCTCTTTATGCACAACATGCCTGTTTGCAAAAGTGGAGCAATCTACTTTTTGCAGCATCCAAACCCCAAAGCTTCACACTAACGGAGAAGTACATGATGGGAAGGGAAGAAAGAAAGAAAATTCTCAGACCTAGAAGTGTGAAGGAACAGAATCCACTTTGGAGAACTTCCACTTACCGTCCTTATCTGCTGTCTCTGGTATTGTCTTTGGCCCCCCGAAGTAATTTGGTAGACTAATCAGAACACAGGAATTTTATCTATTTTAGACTCATCAGTCATTGGCCTGTCATTTAAGGGAGACCCAATGGACAGACCCAATTTTAGCCAAGCTGTTTCAAGATGTTAGAAGATCTGACTTAAAATTTTGTTGCCATGTAAGCTGTTTCCTGCTTATATTGTGGTCTTTAAGTGCCTAGCAAAACATTGGAGGGTTTTTTTGGTTCCTTGCAACAGATTTCAAAAGGAGGCAGCTCACAGTCAGTAGCAAGAAAAAGTCTTTTCTTGTGATGCCTGCCAGTGCAATCAAATGGAAAGGGATTTTAAAAAAATTAAATGCAAAAGAAGTAGAAGAGTGTCTGATAATTTCAAACAGTATGCTGGAATCATTCTGACAATAAAGACTTTTATTGCACCCTCGTAGTGCCTGGGGTTTTAATTTAACACATCAATGAAAAGGCAGCGTTTAAAAAAAACCACCACCACCACTGAAAACACCAGCAGGACTTGCTTTTATTAGTGCAATTCGTAAGAAATTAGAACATTTAATGAGAAAATCGTTAACCATGAAAAAAATGGACTGACTTAACTTGGGGGGCTTAAGTAGTGAGACTTCAATTTAGTTTGTCAGCTACTGGTGAAATAAATAAGAGTGAGCTGATCACCTCCGGAGCAGTAGGCACTTTAGCACGCCTTCTTGTGTGATGGCTGCTCTTGGACAGAACCATTACCCGCCTCCTTTTCTAGAAACTCTGTAGAGTCAAAAGCTAGGGGGAAAGTATCAAACGTGTTGTTTCACTCTTTTCAGAGATGCTGTCCTTTAGATTCAGTTCAATTAGGCATTTTATAGAACATAAATATAACAGCTAGCGCTGTGTATGCTTAACAGTGAGCAGAGTGGAATACGGTATTTAAACGATGTCTGCTTCTTGGTGTGTTTACTTACCCTTGTCTCTTGCATCACTGGCAGATGATTTTCTATGCTGATGTTTCCATGGCTAAAATAGTTGCAGTGACATGTATGCCCATAACGTCTGAACATACGAAGGTCTATAGGTCAGATTAAAGGTTCTGCTAATCCAGTAACCTGTCTTTAACAGTACAAGAACAGGACAGGCAGATGCTGTGACTTGTCCAGAATGCTTTCCTGCGTTTTCTTTTCTTCCTCAATGACAACATCATCTCCCTTGGTAGATTTCCTCTTTTAAGAATTCTAATAATTTGTTGCAGTTTTTTTTTTTTTAAACTGTTAAAACTTCCAGCATCCCACAGCAGCCTGTGGTAAAGAGGGTAACTGGTTTTGTTTGAAGAGGTACTTTTTTTTTCATTTGTTCTTAACCCAACTCTTTGCTCTTGTTTTGAGAGGGGCGGTAGACTATCACTCCCTATTCATCCTTTTCACAGTGCTTCTGAGTTTGTATGCTTTTCACACTTGTCTTTTGCTAGGCTGAGGTGTCTGCAGAGGCTAGAATCGGATAATTCCTCAACTGTAATTAAACATGAAGAAAATAATGTAGTAAAATCCAGCAGAATTTAGTTGGGCTTGCGGAGCTCTTGGTGACACTTGTCATGTTTGCAGTGTTTTACAGCTACTTACCTTTTAGGAGCACAACAGTGAGAATGAACCTGGTGTTCCCCTTCTTGTTGGTACAAGTCTTGTTTGCCTCTCCTTCTCTCTGTCAGGCATGCACTGTTTATAATACTTATCTCCATAACCATAAACAGCGTTGCCCCGATGAAAAATCATCTAACTATCTGTACAGAGACAGGATAGACTCTAATGTCAATAACAACAATGTAGTCTTTTAACTCCAATCACCCTATAGCTGTTGTTTTGACATTTATACTTTCATTGTAAATTTAACACTTTAATTGAAACATGCATGTATTTCAAAGGATGTTTAGGGGATATGCTTTGCACTGTAGGACATAACCTCCCTGAGCTTTAGAATTGCAAATGTTCTGGTTTTACTTTCTATCAAACAAGCTAGGCCAATGGCTTTTTTTCTTGGCTTTCAGGGAAAGACTTTTGCCTTCCCCATGATTGGGTTTCTTCCTAGTATATCTAGCTTTTCCAGAGAGCCTGAAGTAATTGTCAGTAGCTTAGAAAACAATTATCAACTTGAGTAGCTTGAGGCAGTATGGGTATGATTAACTCTTTTGATGCCTGTGGAATAGAAAGAGAGATGTAAACTAAAAATATTTTTTTTTTGCCATGAAATTGTGCATACTTTGATTTATTTATCTCTCGTTGTCTTTCAGTGAGTCAGCAGTTGATAAACCGCATTGATCAGTTCCTGGAAAATAAAGGTTCACAGTACTACATGAAAGGGATCAATTGTATCAGAGTTTTCAGAGAGGAGGCCATAAAGGTAATGTTAATATGTGAAAACACTCATCTCTTTCAAATTAAAGACATGATGGGCCTATTTGCTACTGGATAATTTATTGCTCCAGCAAAAAGAATTGATTTTTAGATTAAAATCTGTTATGCTGTTTGAAAGCTTAGAAATGTATTTGCATTTTGTATTTCTTTATTCTTACTGGAATGGGGACCAGCTTCTCTGGTATTATTTGCTGTTGTTTGTTTTCTTTTAAACATAAAACCCCAAGGCCTGTGACCTGATGCTTGTAAAAGAAAAATAAGCAATCCTACAAATTTCTTCTGAAATAAAGGTAGTTACAAGAAAGTCTTTCTAGCTTTCTGAAAGGCAGTTTTTGTGGCTCACCTTTGCTTAGAACTGTTGGTTTTAGTAGAGATAAAACCCCAAAGCTGTACTGACTTTTGTGTTCACCATGTTAGATGACTTAATGAAAAATTAAGTTCACAGTGCTCTTTAGTAAGCTACTTCAATATTTCTCTGTTATCATTGCTGTTATTTTTTCAGCTGTCCAAGGTGCAGTGCTTTAATGATTTTCTGCGGGCCCTGAAATCAAAGGTGGAAGATAAAGCCTTAGCTGATTTATGGGAGATCATGATACAAGGTAGGATGTGATGTAAAAAAACCAACAAAAAAAGTATTTCTAGTTGTATTATCCATTATGTAAGAGAAAACTTTGTTAGCAACTGGACACTTAAGCTAACCCCAGAGCAGCATTTTGATATGGTTCATTCCTGCAGCCTGTTTAAAAAAAAAAATAAAAATTTTTCACGTTACAATTTCCTTTTTTACACTAATAGTTTCTTATCAGCAATATCGATAATGCCTTGCCAAGTCTTGTTGAAATGATAAATTAATTGTGGAAGAAGAGAGACAAATTAAATGTTACAGGGTAAGGAGAAGAAGATACGATTTCAGCTGAATTTCAAAATAAATGGAAAAAACTCATGCAGCAGAGATATAAAAAGATTCTTCCAAATTAAGCTTTAAAAAAGGCATAGATAGAATTGCAATATGTCACTGATCATTTTGTGTTTAAGCAACCTGAAGGACAGAGTATGTGGTAATATGACACCTACCTATGATTAAACTGGGAGATACAGGGCAGTGCAATTCCAAAAGACATTCAGAGACTACGCAAGTGATAAATAAAGGAACATTTTCACAAATACGAAACATGGTGGACTAAAAAAAAATCCTCTACGTCATACTCTTGTTTTTAATTGGAACCAGTGCTAAGAAAATCTGCTAAATGCCCAGCTGTATCTCTTAAGGGTGCATGCTATAGAATGCAATGATATGCTTTTTTACAGTGCCTTTCAAAGTGATGAAGGACACTCTGTAATGTCTACTTCATCCAACTTTTTCAAAATACAAAAGGGGAATTTGTTTAGCAACCCAAAATAACAGCACAACAACACTGAAAGAATATTACATTCAGTAGGGTTGTAGGGGGACCTTCTCTGAAGAAACTTGTAAAAAAAACCAAAACAAAACAAAAAAACCAAACCAAAAAAAAACCCCGACAAACTTTGAAACTAGGAAACTTGGATCTTCCAAAGCCATGCTAGAATACTGGTTTAATAATTTTTAGCTGGTACAAAGCAGAGTTTTTAACAAACTGGAGTATATTTTTGAGAAAAAAAAATGACAAATACAAACAGAGATTATATTTTCACACAAAATAAATTATCTTCTTGTGAGAAGATGATAAAATCATGGTGCTTTGTGCATAATCTAGCTGATCTCATTGGGTAGCTGAAATTGCTTTTCTTTTGCTGCTACCAAAAGCAGAAGTCCTATTTTCTCTGCTTCTTGCCACATGACCTATCCCCTCTTTTCTACCAAATGTGGCCTTGTCATGAGCGACTGCAATCACCAAAAGAGGATGGATGCGAATTAACGAGTCCGTGGCTCAGGAACAAGGCAGATCTGTTTGACAAGTTCACTTGTCTTATGAAACCCTGCCATGTAGTTCTATAGGCGCATTAAGGTGGTATTACACTTGTGCTGCTGCTGAAACCTTTATGAATCTACTGTCCTTTGCTCTCACACCCACAGCTTCTTTATTCAGGCACGAGCATTCATGTAGCCAAGTGATGAGCTAGACTGGAAAAACTATTGGGGTAAAAAATAATTGAGGGTTTTGTTTTTTTTTTTTCCTGGGGGTCACGGCACAGGATGGTGGTGCTGGCACAAGAAAGGAACAAAATGGGGGCAGGACCAGAACTTTGGTAGTCAAACTGTAGGTAATCACAGCATAAGTGTTTGTATGTTAGGAGTTAATTTTTCTAAGGCTGTTAAGGACAAAGAGCATGCTGTGAATGACTAAAAGTGTAATTTCTGATAGATTTTCAGCTTTTCATCTGTGATCTGTGATTTCAGTGTCTCATTAGTTTGATTGTCATAATATTAGCAGTTTTCTAAATGGATACTTCCACAAGCTTATGAATATGCTCATTAATTTATTTTTATATCATGGTTGACTCACAACAACCCTGTGCAGTGCTACAGACTTGGGGAAGAGTGACTGCAAAGCTGCCCGGCAGAGAAGGACCTGGGGGTATTGGTCCACAGCCAGCTGAACATGAGCCAACAATGTGCCCAGGTGGCCAAGAGGGCCAATAGCATCCTGGCTTGTATCAGAAATAGTGTGGCCAGAAGGACCAGGGAAGTGATTATCCCCCTGTATTCGGCACTGGTGAGGCCCCACCTCGCATACCGTGTTCAGTTTTGGGCTCCTCACTACAAGAAGGACATTGAGGCACTGGAGCATGTCCAGGGAAGGGAATGAAACTGGTGAAGGGTCTGGAACACAAGTCTGATGAGGGAACTGGGGTTGTTCAGCCTGGAGAAGAGGAGGCTGAGGGGAAACCTTATGACTCTCTACAACTACCTGAAAGGAGGGTGTAGCCACAGAGGTGAGTGTTGGTCTCTTCTTGCAAGTAACAAGCTATGGGACAAGAGGAAATGGCCTGAAGTTGTGCCAGGGGAGGTTTAGATTGGATATTAGGAAAAATGTCTTCATGAAAGGATTGTTAAGCATTGCAACAGGCTGCCCAGTGGTTGAGTCCCCATCCCTGGAGGTGTTTAAAAGATGTGTAGATGTAGTGCTTAGGGACATGGCTTTAGTGGTGGACTTGGCAGCGTTAGGTTAATGGTTGGACTTAATGATCTTAAAGGTCTTTTCCAGCCAAAACGATTCTATGATTCTATGACTCATTTATGGAAGTCACATTTTCCTTTGAGCTATATTTTTTTATTTTTGCTGGTGATGATGACACATTCAGAAATCGGAAGACTTTTTTCATTTCTAACATTAAGTGCATTTTTGGGAAGCCTTCTAATGATATTTTTATATCTCTTTTTTTTTTTTTAGACAGAATTTCTTTGATCACTAAAGATGAAGCAGAGGGAAGTTCGGTGACTAGTGAAGAGGCTGAAAAGGTATCATTTTTTTAATGAGCATCTATTTGTATAGGGCCTGTGCTGTGGAACAGAAGATTCTCTCTTATGTGGATAAACCTTCACGTGAATGAAGTAGGATTCATATGAAGGAAGAAGAGTGTCCTTTTGCCATACAATTGAAATTGCCCCAGTTCAGAGCAAAAATAATTCCCTAGCATGCACCAGAACATTTGCTTTAATTGGTCTTTAGAAAGTGGCATGTATTGAGATCAGTATCTGAAAATACCCTCTACAAAGAATAGGATCTTCAGGAACTCGGTTTAGTGGAACAGCAATAGACCATTTATATATGCAAGATCACTATTTGAACTTCATAGAAAGAACTGTGATCTCATTGTTATCACATGAGTTCAAAAATCAAGACACTTGTTTGTCCAAAGGCATTGTGAACTCTAGCAATATCAAGTTGTTATGGCTAGTTTTCACCACACATGCAACAATACCAGTATTCTCCACTTTATGGAGCTCTTGTGGATTGATGGATGTCATAGGTGATGCTGGTATTCTTACTGGTGATCATATTAGATCATTTTGGAAACAAAAGTTTTGGAGTATTTGCAGGTGTTCTTTCTACAGAAATACAATGCTTCAGTAACTGCAGTGATGAATGAAGGATGTCACAGTTACAAAAGAGCAAATCCTAACAGGCAGAAAAAATGGTGCCTTCTGTTTGAAAGAAAGCAGAATTCAGATTTGCTGTCAAAAACTGTATTTGTGTGGAGAGGATGAGACAGGCATTCTTGTACCAGGCTGCTAGCCGTGATTTTAAATAGTTTAGGAGAAAGAAGGTCCTTGTATTACAGACCCCTGAAGGTAAACCTGTGGCTAAAATCACCAAGTACCTTGCAGAGAAGCCACTTTTCTAAAGATGCCACATTGATTTTTTGCAACTTCCAAGCCTTACATTAGCAATAACCAGAAGGGGGTAGAAGCAGGTTCTCCATGAGTGAATTAATGAGGGGGTAAAAGGTTGTATTTTAGAAACTGCTTTTTTTCATCTGTAACAATTTACCTCAAGGTGAACGAGGCACAGAAATGTCATGAAAATGAAAAGCTAACACACTAAGAGTCCAGAAAGCTAAGCACATGTGCAGAGTAGAAATGGCAGAATATGATGGGGTTTTCTGGACATGAAGGACCTACTGGCTGTTTCTCATCACACATAATTTATTGAGCAACTTTTTCTCCCAGTGGTGGTTTTAAAGAGTACCGGGTTTTGTTACATATTCCAAATGCTATGAATTTACTTGGAAACTTCCTAAGACAATAGGTTTCTTCAGAACTTCACTTTCTAATCTGAAACTACCATTGATGCTCAAAATGTGCTAATGTTGTGTGAAACAGCCACTATTCCTTAAGGAAATCTCTGCTAGCCATGAAGACCTTACAGCAAACTGTTTCAACTGTGAGTTTGTGGTGGCTAAAAAATACCGTGCCTGCATAGGAATGCAACACAAATTATAGACTAGATTTACAGCCGTCAGGCTGAGCTGGAGCAAAGCATTTGTAGCCTGACTTCAAAATTGCTTTCCTGTTTAACATCATCCTACAGTCAGCGAAGTGTTGCAATACAGGAAATTCTTTTGTGATTGATTGAAGGTCCTACAACAGCTATAACTTCCCTTTAAAATAGGGGACTAAGAGAGATTGCATGAAATCAGCTGTACAACAGAGTTCTCTAATGTGGCAGCTACCTTGACTTTAAGAATAAATGGGTTGCGTCTCTTTGCTAAACTGGGCAGTTACTCACTAGATAACCACCTCCCCACACACTCTCCAGATCCAAACCCAGAACCCTGATTTGCAGGTTTGTAGGACTTTTTACTTAAGAAACTGGAAGGCTACATATTCTTGGAGTAAGATCTGCAGGGACAGAAAATTTTATCTTGAGGTTATGGAGCTGATCTAAAATCTAGTCCTCCTTGGTCCAGTTAA